TGCCTGAAATTTTTGAAACATAAGGAGGACAGAAACCCTAGTGACGTGAAGCTGTCTGATAAGTGATTTTTTTAATTTGCCTTGGACTGAATGTAGGAAAACCATGCCTGCAAGTTAAACTGGGTGCACAGGTTTTATTTCCCATTTTGAGGGCTCTTCTAGAAGAATGGTGGTGTGATTGAAAGAAATTCTTCAGCAGCTCTTTTAAAAAGCTACTCGGTATGGATGTTCTGTCTTCATTCCACGAAAGTCAAAGGCTGCTCTCTTCCAGGTCTTTGTTTTCTTTTGGGTCTGCTTTTCTTTGGATGGGTGGGTTGGTTTCTTGTCCATCTCCAGAATTTTTTTTTTTTTTTTTCTGTTGGCTAGTTCTCTAATACCTCTTATTTCTATTTCTTTTATGTACGTTTTTTTCCTTCATGTCTACTTTCTGTCTCTGTCATAACCCAGTATGAATGAATATGAATGTTAATAACAGGTCATAATGTAGAACTTAAATATATTTTTTACTCTTTGCTGCATTTATTGAGTAGATTTTGTTTTTCTTAAAGACCATGGAGTATTTTATATCATCTCTTTAAGGCGTATATAGGCACTTCGAATAATATCACCAAATTAACATAGGGAAAACAAACAAACAGACTCTCTCCTTACAGAAGAAATCTTTATCTGAGTATAACACAAAAAGGCCCTTTTAACTCCCCAAAATTGATTTTAAGGGTGCCCTGAGGTCTTAGTGACACATGTGAGCACAAGCTGTTGTGCTCCCCTTAGGGGAGAGGTAAGGTTGGCATTGAGCCAGCATTGTCCAGGTGCTATAGATCCATGAAAAAGGTGTACTGGGAACAAAACCTCTTTATCTTCAGGATGACATGGTATCTCTTGACTTTGTCCTAGCCAGAGGGAAAAAACCAATCTCCCCTCATTTGTAACCGAGCTCTCTTCTCACATAAGTTGTGGTTTCAGTTCTCATCTGTGGTGTCTGATGAATTGAAGGGTGCTGGACAGGAGCAGTGAGCTTCTATAGAGGAAGGCACTCAAATCTGGTTCCTCAGGATTCCCACAGATTAAAACATGCCAATGAGAGTGCCTCTTTTCCTATACGCTAGACTATTGGCACAGTCTTAGATTCTTGCCACTCTGATAGGTGTTAGAACAATGGCATTCTTAATGTCATTTTAATTTTTTTTCTTAGGCTGAACAATATTTCATACACTCGAGCCATTTCTATTGTCTGTTAACTGTCTTTTCCTAGCTTTTGTCCATTCTTTATTGGTTTGTGGCAGTGGTGTGTTGGAGCTGTCTTGACTATTTCATGACGGCCAGTTGTTAAATTTTCAGACATTTTGTAATCTGGTTGATTTCATGTCAGTACCTAGAAATTGGCCATGGTGGGAATAACACCAGGGAAATTGGAAAACACAAATCTGCAGGAACCTTTCCCAGCCCCCTGCCAATTGTTAAACATTTACCAGCACACTGCTTGTTGGTGGACTTCTTGTTGATTCCTAGAAGCCTTTTATATGTTAAGGAAATTAACCATTTGTGATATGAATTGTAAACATTTTTTTCCCAATTTGTCATTTTCTTTAACTTGCTCATAGTTTTCTTCTTGTCATACTGAGATTTTACAAAAAAATTAAGTAGTCAGACTTAATGAATTCCTAATGGCTTTTAATTTTAAGTCATAACTAGAATGGACTTTCCCATTACAAGTTACAAAGGGTTTCTCCTATGTTTTCTTTTAGAAATTTTGTGGTTTCATGTTTTACATTTTAATCTTAGGTTCATTTGCTGTTTTTCTTGGTGTAAACTGTGAAGTACAGATCCAACTTAACTTTTCCAAAGCAAAACATGAACAAATGGGATCTAGAAAAAAATTTTTTTAAAAGCAACACATTATGTTGAACTACATATCAGTCCTTATGAAATGAAGCAAAAGCAGTGCGTAGAGGAAAATTCATAGCCTTAAGTTTATATTAGAAGAGGAACAACTAGGAGGTTGTTTCCAATTTGTTAGAAAAAGAACAGAATAAACCCAAAGGACAGTAGGAAAGAAATAATAAAGAGTACAAGTTAATGAAATAGGAATTAAACATTCACTAGACAGGATTAAGAAATACAAATTATATGAGGAATTGGATAATCCCAGCCTTCCATAAACTCCAAGAAGAGAAAGTGGGACTGCTTCACTCATAAATGCAGCTGGGGTAGCCTTAGCACTAAACCAGAGAAGGTACAGTTGAGGCATTATATGCGAGTGTGTACATTATGAGCATGGGAGTTTATCTCAGGTTTAATAGCTTAGAAATTTCCTGATGAAGCGCAGCACATTTAAGGGAAGAATCCTCTTGTCTCAGAAGATGCCGAGAAAGCATCAAAAAATGCAACAAACATTTTGGCAGATTCTTAACAATTAGGAAAAGGAGTTTTCTTAGTCTGTTGAAATATCCTACTTTTTGTGAAATTCCAGAATTTTTTTTCTTAACGTGGCTCAAAGTAACAAAGCCTACCCATGTAGGTGCATACTATATGACTGAGACGGCGGGTTAAAGGCAGAGAAATGAAAGGGTAGAATTTGAAGGGAAAAAACTGAAGTCTTGTTTGTAGATGGTATTCTATTTATATAACTCCAGGTAATCTACATACAAGTTAGTAGAATTAACAAGTGTTTAGCAAAGTTCCCAGAAACAAGATCAAAATATAAAGATTAATTACATTTACATTTGTCAAGAAGTTAGAAAATACAGTTTAAATAAAAAATAGTGTGTCATAAAAATAAGGCACCTTTGAATAAGTCTGTAAAAATTGAGTAATAGAAAAAATTATAAAGCTTTGTTGCAGGATATTGAAGAAAGTGAAATAAAGGAAAAAACATGGAAAGATCAATATCATAAAGCTATCTCACCACCCCCCATCCCTCAAATTAACGCTGCATTCCACATAATGCCAGTTAAGATTTCAACAGGTCTTTTTAAACTGTATCTTTAGATCCACGTGGAAGAGAGCAAAGGCCTTAGGAAAAAGTGGGCTGATTTCCAGTTAGCAAGATTTTTATTTAAGCTCATCATAACATTTTGATGTTGCACCGGTGTGGACACGTGTACAGAGTAGACAGTGGAGAAACAAGCCTACGTATGTATTTAAGTACTTGGTAAAATGCCAAAAGACAGCTTTGTAGATCAGTAAGAAAGGGGTTAGGAAAATTTATTTGGATGTCGGTTAGTCATATGGAAAAAATAAAATGGATCTCTCCTTTACCTCCTACCAAAAAATCATTTCCGTAAATGACCTCACAAAATGTTGAGCAAAACAGTAAGTTTTGGAAGAATATGTACCCTGTGATATAATTAAAAGCATTTGAAATATATTAAATAAAGCCATCTGTTTTGTGGTTATACAACTATATTAAAAGTTCAAAGAAATGCAAGGGGATGATGAATGCTGGGTTTAGGATCAGGTTACTAAACGTTGGGAGAAAATAGGGGGTACAGGGACGCTAGCAAAGATTTTTATTTTTTAAGCTGAATGGGTATGGATGTTCATTTAAAATATCTTTTTTGTGACCTAAATGTTCTACAGTAAATTTAAGATAGGAAGTGAGATTCAGTTGGTTTTTCATGTTCACTTTGCCTTGGTGACTGCCTTGATTTAGCTTGGTGACTTCCTTAGGAAAGTAAAATGTCCTCACTCATAGGCCAGCCAGCCAGCCAGGCAGGCACAGGTAGCTAAACCAGTGGTGTGGCCTTGGACAAATTCATGAATCCTCCTGTTTCTCTCTTTCCTCATCTGTAATATGGGAATAATTATATGTTCTTATGAGGATTCCAAGTTCACACATATACAGCTCTTAGTATAATATCGTGTGTGTGTGTGTATATATATATATAGCTCTTACTACAGATTCTAGAATTTGTGAATCTTTAAATTGCTATTAAAAATTATTGATTCTTTCTAGTTTTAATTTTTTTTCTTAAAGCAGTGCTTTTATTGCTCCGTACCTCCCTTTCCTGAACCTTTTTCAAGCCTTAGGATTTGTTTTCCTGTATTCCTTTTCTGTAATCTTTCTTACATGATGAGGTAGAAGTGGTTTTGAGCAATGTAAGATGCCAATGCGAGTTCTTTTGGTTTGTGTTTTCCATATCAGATTGCTGTTCTGATTGAATTTATGGCAGGAGAGGCATTTTGTGCCCACCCGAAACCAAAGAAGCCCTGAATTTTAAAAAGTTTAGTCTCTAACCATACTAGTCTGATCATCGATGATTTTGCATTTCTGAGTTCATTTTTGTTTTTGTGGTTTCATGGTTTAATAATGGGAGTTAACAGATTGCTTTACTTACAGTGACAAATTCTTTTCATAAATGCCTATGAACATCCATTATTTTTAGGTCGTCGTTACTCTCGCTACTCCTATACTGCTGATTCTGTCTTCATCTTTTGCAGCCTAGAAACTTGTTGGCATACGTGCTTTAAAATAGAAGTTTAATGCTACATATCAAAACACATTTATTCTCCAGGGTGCTATAGCTTTTGATTGCTGAGTTAAGGGTTTTGTTTTTTTGTTGTGTTTTGCTTTGTTTTGCATTTACTCTTTTTCCTGTAGTATTTTTCATAAGATGACAGCTAATATTTTCTGCCTTTGGAAATTTGACAGATTTGTAGGTAAGAGAGTTTAATGTGAAAAAAATTGTGGAAAAAAATTCTCAAGTGGATATCACCTCCTCATTGGAAAATATAATATGCTAGAATACTTGTAACAGAAGCACCTTCCAGGTTCATGACTCACTCTCAGGAGTTGCTAACGTATCTGTAGAACTTGAGTGTGCAGATGGAATGCGCATGCGTGTGCACACAGGGAACTGGGTCAGGACCGCACAGGAGGAAGACCCGTGCCCCTGCAGGTGGCCCATCAGTGCCGCTTGTTCGTGGTGTGCGTGGTTTTCTTGAGTAGGTCACACTGACTGAAGACACGATGGAAACACCGTTTTTGCTGCATCTTCCAGGTCGGATCCGCACGAGACGGCAGAGCTCTGGGAGCGCCACCAATGTCGCCACCACACCTGATAGTCGAGGCCGCAGCCGCGCCAAAGTGGTTTCACAGTCCCAGCGTAAGAAGTATATTTTATACACTCTGTTATCTCAGTTTTGTTCAACAGCCCATTATACAGTTGAAAAATTGATAGTATTTTCATCACTTCAGGGGAAAAACACATTTGTGTGGCTCTAAGCTGCCGTGAGTAGTCTTGATGTTTGTTGGGTAAGCTTACAACATGGAGTATTCCAGGATACTTTTGTCTCCTTGCCAGGTGATTTAAATTTTGTATTATTAAGCATTAAACATTAAAACGTGGTTTCTCTCCCTTAAGCATCTCAAATTGAGACATACCTGGGCTGTGACCCATTTACTGTTGATAAGGTGTCCCTCTGATGTAATTTAAGAGCAGTGCCTGGGGATTATTTTAACGTGGAGTTCTCTTTCAGTGGTAGTAAGCAAATCCATTAAAAGCTCTCCCCATTAACCCTGTGTTCTAACATTTGCAGCCTGCTCTTCTCTTCCTGCCAGTGTGGGTTCCCGCTTTACCCAGCTGCTCTCGCTTCCATTACTGCTTGTCTGTACATGTTGAGTCACTTGGCTTGTTAGCATCGGCCATGAAAGCAGCCATAGATGGAAGGAGTGTATTCAGATCGCTCTAAGGAACCCCCCAGTGTCTCACTTCCCAGCCACACTTGCCTTTGAGTCCCCCGCTCGCTCTGTGTGCATAGAGCTGGGTGTCTGAGTTCTCCCGGGCAGGGTGAGCGTGTTGGAGGAAGGCTCCGCTTCCCTGGGAGCTGCACACGGTCCCTCTGTGCAGCACTCCCCAGCCCATATGTGTCTGCTTCCTCTGTGGCCTCAGGAGCTGTCTGGCTCATGTAGAGAGTCTGTGGCCAAATCTTAGGTTCTCCTTAGTATTTAGAATGCCTTTCTCAGCTCCTTGGGAATTCACATACTCTCCCATGTCCCTCTGGTAACTCTAGGCCTCATGTTAAGCAAGTGTAATACCTTTCTGAAAAGAAAGTGTAACATCAGTGATACATTGCTGCCAGGCTTGTCTGATGCAGAAACGCATGCTTCTGGTGTATCACACAGGTATATGCAACACAACATAGGGTGTGCATCTGTATGTAGCCCAGTAGCTTCTACTTTGGGAACACTGTCCTGGCTCGGGTTGTTCTGTTGAACCCTAGTGATGCCTGGAGCCACGGACGCATATAGTACTCTGGTCATGACCGCAGAAATTTTTCTTGACAAAGATGTTCAAGACTCAAAATATGGGTTAGTATGTTAAAATAAAGTTTAATAAAAAAATGTCTAGCTCTTTAGCTGTGCAGTGTTATTTCCTTTCTTGGAGAGGGAGGGTTGAACGGTACTGTACGTTTCTTTATGTCTGCTGTTTATTGGCATTGGCCTCTGCAGGGGTTCCTGCCCCTAGCCTGGCTCACTGCTTAGGAGATAGTGGAGACTTACTTTCCTTCTGTAGTGGGGGTGAGGGCAAGGATAGGGCTTTAATTCTTCAGTCTTGTAGAAATAGTGCACCCTAGCTTGGGGCTCCACTTTAAAAGTCTTCAGTTTTACTTGATTCACTAAATTCCACTCACAGGAAGGGAGACAACACCAGCCAGTAATCAAGACTGGACTTTAAACTTAGGCATATAAATTAAGTATTTAAAAAAATTATTTTAATAGGAAGTAAATATGAGCATATTTATATGTTTTACAAACGTAGATATACTAGCATTCGTAGTCCTGGTATAATAAGTAGATTTCATTAACATTAGATTAATTAGATTTAGGGCCCTTAACAGCGCAGTTTAAATATTTGAGGATTTAAGTATGTGAAGATTGATATTTAAATATTTGAGGATTTGGCATAGGATGTTCAGGTGAAACTAGTAGCAATTTCTTTGAATTCATGATGTTTATTGAGCACTTGCTATGTGGTAAGCACCAGTTAAGGTGGTAGGGGTACATAAATGAGTAGGATGCAGTCACTTCTCTCCACTTCCTCAGAACTAGAGAGATGTGCCTCCCCCGCCGGAGGCCAAGACGCTTGTCTTCATCTCCTCCGCCTGGCACCAGGCCTGGCACATTGTAGATTCCTAAGTGTTTCATGAACAGACCTGAAATAAATGCTGATAGAGTATGATATGAATAAATAAACATAAGTATAAAAGTAGACTGAGGAAAAAGACCTAGAAGAAAATACTATTTTGCTAATGTGTTTGTGAACAAAGACATTTTTGTGTTGTGTTGCATGCTGACCTTCTGTATTGTGCTATTGTCTTTTAATCCACTTTTTGCCTGTCCTTTGGTCTGCTCTCATAATCAAGGATCCAGATCTGCTAATCCTGCTGGTGGTAAGCCGTTTCTCTTCTTGCCTTTTTTTTTTTTTTTTTTGCGTTCTTCACCCCATGTCCCATGTTCCTTGCACAATATTAATTTCTCTGTTTATTATGAGCTTAGTTAATCTTCATTTTTTCTCTGTGTTCAAATTCTAGAGTTTGGAATGGATTTCTTTTCTCCTCTTACACAGCTTAATAGTTCATTTGGGTGTTCAAAGTTTTATGGGCATAAGATTAATAAATCCTGAGACAGGTTCTTCATGGTGATGCGTACCAGTGATTTTTATAATGAATTTCACTTTAAACTGTAGCTGTCATTATAAAACCCTAATTTTTGTGAGTGGTCACCTTAATGATTAATTTGAATGATGACGGTGTAGGTGTGTGTTTCCAAGTTAAGTGTTATTTTAAGGGTTTTTATCTCTGGTTCATTCTATTCTGGTACATAATAACATGCACTTTATGTTTGAGAATTTTATTGCCTTCTCTGCTTAAGGAGAGTGTATTTCGGTGTATTGATGTGATCTTTAAAATTTTGCCGTTTTCTTAAAGAATGTTGTCTCATGAAAAATGGTTATATAGCTATCCAGCCACTTACTCATTTATAAAAATTACTAACTATATGATTTGTTTTTAATTTCTAATTCTCTTGTGTACATCTCAGGGCATGTGGTCTATGTAATTTCTATTTTTGTAGATTTCTGAGATTTCCTTTGAAGCTTAGTACATAGTTGGTTTTTGTAATATGTGTGGAAAAGTGAAAAGAGTGTCTTCTGTTTGTTGTACATGTGTGTGTATGTGGTTCATGTGTTTATGCATATCTGTATAATTTTGACTGCTCTGCCAATTTCAGAGGTGTATTAGTTATTAGTTTCTTTAGTTTTTTTTCTTAGAGGTGCATTAATAATTATGACCTGAATTTCTCCCTATATTTTTATCAGTTTTATGTTTTATATTTCAAGGCTGTGTTACTTGGAGCATAAAGGTTCATGGTTATTATGTCTTCATTGACTATGATTCTTTTATCAATATGAGATATCCTTTGTCCTTTTTTTAATGCTGTTTCACTCTGTTTTATTGTTTTGTATTAGGTATGTTGTTTGTTTCTTATAGACAACATTCAGTTGAGTTTCATTTTTTTAAAAGCCAATCCAAGAATCTCTGTCTTTTGATAGATGAAAATTAATCCAGCCATATTTATTATGATTAGTGATATGTTTGAGTTTATTCCTACCATTTTATTTTGTGATTTTTATTTACCATGTTTCTAGTTATCTTCCTGCTTCCTTTTCTTCCATTTGTTAAATGAATGGGATGTTCTTGGATCTATTCTCTTCTCTTCAACTAATGTTTAAGAAACTTCTGTTATAATTCTCTTCTTCCAGTGGTTATACTTAAAATTTTTCACATATCAACTTTTATAGAATAAAAAAACGAAACAATAAACAAACACCTTTGTGATTATTTAGAAATTTGCTGTGGAACAGGGAGCTGTTTGTACTCAGCCTGCTCTTTGAATCAGAAATTTTACTGTCATTTTTGTAGAACTCCACCTGTAATTCTTCTTTGTATAAACATTCTTTTATGATACTTGATATTCTTTTATGCTCCACGTAAAAAAAAAAATAGTACTACCACCAACAAAAAAAAGCCATTTTTATATAAAAGTATTTGAGCCAAATAATGTGTTTACTGACTTCTGAAATTGTTATAGTTTATTCCCTGATTTACAGCCATTCTTCAGTTTTGTTTTGTTTGATTTTTAGCTGGCAGCCGGTCAAGTTCCCCAGGGAAATTGTTGGGAAGTGGTTATGGTGGCCTTGCTGGGGGTTCCTCAAGAGGCCCACCTGTGACCCCCTCTTCAGAAAAACGAAGCAAGATTCCCAGGAGTCAGGGATGTAGCCGAGAAACAAGTCCAAACCGAATAGGATTAGGTAAGGATTCTGAAAGACCTCAAAACATCATTCCCAACTTGGGCATGATTTTTATTATAATGTAATGACTTTGTCTAATGTTGGAAATAGAGTTCTGCTTTTGAACTGAGGATGTCATTTTGCCTGTGTTAAGAGACATTCTGATTTGTGCTTTTTACAGATTATGGCATGTTCAGGTTTGAATTACAACCGAAAAATACATGGGCCTCACCGTTCAGATTGACGGAAAAGAATTAATGTCACTGTGGGCTTTTGTGTTTTAGAGCCATTTAACAAAATGTTAGAATTGTGGGGAGTGGGCAGGATTGTCTTCTTCACAATTAGGAGCAGTGTTGCTTTTCATCTTTCTTTCATGGATTAGTGCTAAGTAGCCGTTAATCTATATATGTTTTCAAAAAGCAATTTGTAGGGTTCACGTATATTTTGATTTTGATCTTCTCTAACATAATTGGTGGAACTTACGGTCAAAGAATGTGTATAGTTACTTTTGACATAGTATTGTTCAAACATGAAAACAAGGAACAAATGAAAACCAAATATATAATATTTTTGTGTTGTAGTATTTAGTTTCTCTGTGATGGTGTGTAGAATTACTCTCAGCAGCTTACTCTATTCAAATCTAATTTCTATGTAATCTATTTAATATAAAAGACATCTTTCGTAATATATTATGAGAAATCTATGGTCATCCTTTTCCTTATATTTTTACTGTTCTCTAAGGGTAAAAATCTATTGTGAAATCAGAGTACTACTATATTTGTAAGTCCTGTTGGCTTTTCTTTCTTATTTATTTATCTCGTTAACAGCTTTACTTGAATGTTTCCTGTGATGCACAGGCACTTTGTTAAACCTTAGGATCAGAAGATAAAACAGTTACAGCTTCTGATTTTCAAAGAGCTTGTGGTCTTTGGGGTGGAAATGTCAGATAGTATGACAGATACTGTGATATAATGCTCTGGGGCTGTAGGAAAGGAGTGTCTTAGGGCCCTTGCCTACCCCAGTCCGCCCAAGAGAGAAATCTGGAAGGACTGGGAGAGGAGAGGCTTGCCAGAATAGGTCCATTTTTGAGGATGTGTAAGGTAGGCTTAGGCAGGGTGGGGTGAAGGGGAGAAAGGGGTTCTAGGGCAGAGAGGAGTGTGTTCAGAAACAGTGAGATGGGAGGAAGCATAAAGTGCTATGGGAACCACAGGTAATTCATTGAGCTGCAGCAAAGGAAGTTTGTCAGGGTGAGGTGGGAGAGGAGGGCAGTGGGACTGAGAGGGCGCCGCTTCTAAAAGCCCTCCAAGGCCACGTGAGCTACGAGAAGGTGGGGAGGGGGACATATTTAAGAGGTAGAATGAATAGGCATTGGTTTGACTAACATTTCGAAACAAAGCAAGTGAGAAATTTCTACATGATCCCAACTTTCTGTTGGCATTACATAGCGTGGTCCCTGAGCTGACAAGTTATTTGGATCCAGCAATAAGTTACGTGGATACGCCAGGGAAAGTATCATGACCGAGAATGTCGAAATTTCAGGTTTGAGGCGGTAACATATGTCTGTTTGGATCTAGTTTTGTTTGGAAAATGCATTTGATTTCATATTTAGTCATGAGGTTTTGGCTGTCCCTTTTTGGTAGTTAGCTAAATGTATAGGATGTCTCTTGGTGATCCAGATTAGTTTCATACTTTTAAAAATTCTTTCTTTTTTGGGATTTGACTTTTTAGATTATTAAAGTTGCCATTTTTACCTTTTTCTTGAAATTGGGAAAGAAACTGCCCTAGGTTGCCTAACATAATTCCAGGACCTGGTATTCCATGGTTTTAACTAGGAAGTTTGTGTTGTGGATAGTTGAAAAGACAGCATTTATTAAGCCTTTACAAGGTACTGTGAAATACCATCCATCAGTAAAAACTAAATAGGAACCTGTTCTCTTCCAGAGAGTTCTTATTTGAAACAGTATTTTGGACAAAGTTATTTCCTTGATGCTCATTATGGGGATTAGTTATGTGTAAAGCTTTGAGGTCATACATATATTTCTGATTAAAGAAGATATTTAAATTTCTGCACGTGGTGAGAATACACACAGATATAAAGAGAGATAAATGAATCAAGTACATCTTTCCACTTCTTTCTATAGTACTGCTGAGAGATTCCATTTTATAGGGTGTCAGATACATAACATCTTTAGCAGTAGATTGTCCATTGTTGTGATCATTTAATAGATAACTAGGTATATGCCTGTATATACCCAAATGTTTATAAACATTTGGTTCATTGTATAGCAACTTGAAATATAAATATTCAAAAAAGGGGTAATTAAGTGTCTTTTAAGAATGTTTTCTTTTGTCCCAAACCAATTAATAGTTTTAATCATTGCTAAGCTAGGCATGGAATTTGCACTGAGAATTAATTCTCAAATTACCTACAAATTATGTTTGGTTCAGCTATGCCTCATCTGTGATAAAAATGACACCAAAGCTCTTCTTTTTTAGCATTTAAGGTTTCTTAAGCAAAACAGGATATAATTCCTGTTGTATAACCAAGAAACAAAATAAAACCCTGCTACTCTCTTTTTTCTTGGCAGTTTATTCCTTCATAAACTGTTCAGCCAAACAGAATAGATTGTAAATTGTTTCATCTTGGGGTTTTATTCTGTTTTTGATGAATAATAAAGCCATATAAATAGCTAATACCTATAGCAGTTATATTTTGAAAGTTTGCCTTTAGTTTCCTTCTTCCACTCATCTCTTGAAAAGGCTATAAAATTTTTTATTTTTGGCAGCTTACATCCTGTTTTCAGATTTTCTGGTCAAAATATTTTGAAAGAAGCAAAAATTAACAGTAATCAGTGTCACCTGTTAAATTAGACTACTGTGTGCAAGACCACAACATGAAAATGTCCAGACTGTAGAGACGTTTCATGGTAGTGCTCCTTATTCCTCTTGTACTTTTGCTTTTGATGTGAGTTCTGGTAGGATCCATCCCTTCCTTAAAAGGCTGAAGTTGGGTTTATCCCCCAAACACTACAAAAGTAGAGTGTCTCTCAAGAAATGAGGCCAGTCAGATGGGTTTTCAAGGCTTCCCAGCCTTTCCTGTAAGCACAGGACTTAAGAACCACTGAAGAATACTGCCTTCAGAAAGTTCAAATGGCAAGCATGTCTTCATCGTCTCTTCCTCTTCTGTTTTGCCTTCGCGTTATATATTCTCATAGAGAACAGTCAGTTTTGGCACTCCATAAAGAGGCTGATTTGATATTGTTTTTTTTTTTTTAGCTTTGACCATCTAATTCATTAGTCTTTATAAAAATCATATATTGATATACTTACTTTAAAATCCTCTTTGTAGAGTGGTCTTTGGGAGTGGTATTAGAAGTGGCCATTACTCCTCTCGTGTTCTAAATTATCCAGCATTTGAACGGTTGCTGTCACCACTAGATGTCCTTTAATGTTGGGTTGGGCAGCTGTGGGCAGATGTTTACAAATTCATAAGCAGAATTCTTTTTGTGTTACTACTAGCCTATGTTAAGGAAGCCAGTCAGCACAAAGGGGTGAATAAACTTTCTCTGGCTAAAATACTAAGGAGGGTAAACCTTGTTAAGAATTATGCATGTTGTTGGGCACCTGGGTGGCTCAGTCGGTTAAGCGTCTGCCTTCAGCTCAGGTCGTGATCCTAGAGTCCTGGGATCGAGTCCCACATCGGGCTCTCTGGCTCAGCAGGGAGTCTCCTTCTCCCTCTCACTCTCCCTCTCTCTCAAATAAAATCTTAAAAAAAAAGAATTATGCATATTGTTGCTTCAGATGATGTCCACTTATCCCTTTTCATGTTCTTGTCTTCACAGAGCAGGCTCAGCGAGAGAGAGCAGAGATTTCCCAATTGCTGTAGCATGTGTATTTTTAAGGAAGGGAGTGGAAGCAGGGTAACAGAAGGGATCAGGCAAGAACTATAAGAAAATGCTCAACTTAAGCATGTGCATGTGTGAAACACTTACCAGGATTGTCTTTATTATTTCCGATTGTTTGTTTTGGAGTGGGTAGTGAAATAAGATTTTCATGTCTGCCTTTCAGCAAAGAACTCAGAGGCACTCACATGTGTAACTTATCTCACAGTACCCTTCTCATTTAAATGAGGGACTCTTTCTCCCAACCTTCCTACGGGGAGGCTGAGACAGGAGAGGCATCGTGGCTGGACCAGTGAGTTAGCATGGAACCGGAGAGGTCATTTCACAAATTAGATGTGGTATTGATCCTCTAGGGATAAGCCGCATTACTTTGTAGGTTCTAGGCACTTTCTCATATATTGGTGTCAATGGATGCTCCCTAGTTTTTTAAGAATTTTTTAATTTAGCCCCTGTGCACCCTCATCATAGGAGCTGTTCAGAATTATTATCTAGAATTGCTGATTATATAGTCACTGCCAGTTTGAGCAAAAACCCAGTACCTCCATGTCATATGGCAAAATGAAGGCGAATTTAGGAATGAAGCCCCGTTTTGACAGATTGCTCAGATTGCATTCCTGCGCTTGATTTTTTTTCCTTGCTTGCCAGTGCAGACCTAAGCATTTGGACGTCTCTTATGTAACTGTGGGGTCTGATGTAACTCTAGCACTGAGCAGAGACCACAGGAGGAAGTTGGTCCAGTTGGTTTCTCACTTCCATATTCTTTGTCAGGGAATTTCACGATTCCGGTTTGGAAGACATTCTTGTTATAGTTTGGTCATGCTGTAAACCCACCTTGGCTTTGAAGTAATAGGCTCTGCTCATTACAATATAGTAAATGTAAAATGATTTTACATCAGTGAATCTAGTTGATTTTTTCCAAAATGTTCAGGGAAGACATTTCTATCCAGTCCAGAATGGGTAGACCCACTCAAATGGACATATTTATTGTCCCACCAGCTATCATGGAGATGGCTGTGCACGTTCAGTATGCAGTCATTTCTGAGTATTTTGCCAGTACTGTGTCTTTGTTTCCTCAAGTTAAATTAGAAAACAAAAGCATCATGGTCTTTTCTGAGCTTTATGGCCAAGTTATGTTAGACCTTAAGCTATTCATGTGACACTGTCTTCTCAGTGTTTTTGTAACATGACAATAAAATTACCCACGGATAATCATACAGTAATTGGCCATTCTTAGGTCAGCGGAGGGATCTTTTAACATGAATATTGGGATTTGTCAGTCCACATACCATTGACAGACTCACGTGTAAGGCTGTAAAGTGAAGGTGCTTGAGTAGGGACCACAGGCAGATCTGTTTGGATTCCCACAGAAAAAGCAGGAATGAATTGTTGGGACCAGTAAATAAAGGGAAAGCAATCCCAACTCTCTAAACCTGTTGGTTTAGGTAATTAAGTATGTTTGAAGCATCTAGATACTTACTTGAAGTGGGCAGGTTCTCCAGCTGTGTCAGTCCTTAGAATTTCTCTTTGTAAAGAGGCCCAGGCTGAGAGAAGTGAACCCTCTTTCTTTTAATTAGGTAAGTTCATGGATTTCGAGCCTTTATTCCGTTTTATTAATCCAAAATAAATGATCTTTCTGACAACGCAGTGTATATGAAAATGGCTTTAGTCGTTTATCATCTTGTTGAGCCGGTTTGCTAAAGCCATAAAAACTGATCATTTTCTAAAAGAGTTTGATCTTGGATTTCCTGGTGCCAGTTTGCTCTTTGGAAAGCTTTCTTTTCATTTCTTACATTTAGGTATTATTTCACTTCCGTACAAAAACCCACAGCTTTCTGAAACCTTGAGCACAATCGAGTTTTTATGCAGGCCTGTTATCAGGCCTGTCCAGCACGCCAGTCAGTGAGGCCTCGGCCGGGATAGTCATTCACGATGCACCCCCACCCCAGCGCGGACAATGTCATGATTACGTTAACGGAATGTGACTGACGTTTTGTGAGTTTTTCTGTCTTCATTAAACTTCTTCACCTTCTCTGAAACCCCTCATGCTGCACACTAGCACGGAGCAGCCGTATCCCTCGACCCAGCATGAGTCAGGGGTGCAGCCGTAATACCAGCTGTGAGAGCAGCCGCGATACGAGCCCCGCTCGGGGCTTTCCTCCACTCGGTGAGTACACGTAGGCACTGGCTCTCGGAGCAGAGTTCTTGCCCTGCTCCAAATGCTTGTCCCACACACCGCCAGGTGGAATGACCTGCTCTCCCTCCTCTACTGTCCTTGTGAACCTTTCTTCTCTCTCTCCTCTTCCTTAGTTACCCTCTGTTGTCCCCTCCCCCCTCTGCATGCTTGAAGTTTGGCCATTTCCAATTTTTACATATTGGAGGAAAAAAACACCACTTCACCCTGTGCCGTTGCCATTTGTGACCACTTGCTGGCCAGCAAGCCCATCTGCGTGGTCAACTTCTAACATAAGGGGACGCTCAGTGACAGTGAATTGCTTCTTAAAAGTAGAGCGAATCCCAAGCGTATCGTTTGTCATTGAATTTCAGCAATTTGTTTTGAATTGTACCCGAGGTCAGGCCCTACGTGGTTCAGTTCAAAGGTGGAGAAAAATACAATCGTGATAATGTCTACGACATGAAATGCGCTCAGCTGACGGGTGATAACGTTAAAAAGCTGCATGGATGAAGGGATTAGCCATGCTTTTTTGTTAAGTGAGTCATTTCAGTGCCTCCTCCTAAAGCAAGCCCAAAGTAGCTTTTTCCCCGCCCCCCCCAAAGTAGCTTTTTGATAAGCCGCTGAGGTGTACGGCACAATGCACGCCTTTACAACGTTTATTGTTAACTAATCAGATATTTTCATTCTTCCTGGGCTCCATAGGCTATTTAAAGGCTGTGACCTGATGCCCTCCCAGGGCAGAAATTTACGGTATTTGGTTGCCATAAGGTGGTATTAGTACCATATCTCAGGTCACCAGCCAGGTGCCATTTGGGTTGCTCATCTACCAACCTCAGTCTCTCTTATAGCCAGAGTTTATATTTTCACAGTTTTTAGGATTCAAGAAAAACTGACAGAAACCTATTTCCTTTATGGAATATCGTGTTTGCCTTTTCTTTTTAGTTTGAATAGTCTAAAATGGACATATACCTCATAGTGCAAATTATTAATCCCTGGAGACCTCTAGAAAGAACACACACTTCTCACAAAAAAATATTTTGTATTCTCTAGTAATTGTGTTTCAGTTCTTTGCCATATTGCTGTAAAACTGTCTATTTTCCTTTTGATAAGCATAGCAGGTGGAAATCATTTTAGAATGTTAGGCCTAGGCCTGAAGTTGTTATATGGAATTATGGTCTGCAGCAGTCTGTTATTTCAACTCTAATTATGTAACTGGTCTTTCAAATATAAAAATGTCACTCCAGAAAGTAGATGATGGATCAGAAACACATAGTCTTAATATTTGCCTCTCTCTGCTCCTAATGTCATACACTTCTTCCTAATATCCTTTTATCCCGTCAGTATCAATAATCAAAATCTAGATACACTTCCTTATGACCTGCTGTCCTGTATGCAGTTAAAGCCATGCCAGATGAGTCCCTTGACTTAGTCTACCTGATGACCATGAGATCCTAAGTGGGGCGACTTACCTCGTACACATCAGCTATTCCACGGCAATCTGAAGCATCAGAACAGAATTCTCAACAAATCGGGTGGCAATGATGATTTTTTTTTTCCAAATGAACTGGTGATTTTTCCTTAAGTTAAGGCTGTATATTTCTGCATCCTTGCTGACCTTCTAAACAACCTGTTATATAAGTGAACGATTCAATCTATTTATTGGTTTTTTGACCTCTTAGGCAAGTCCGTATTTTTATTTCATATATGTATGGGTATTTTTGTTATCGTCCATGGAAGCAGCCTTTGGAATCCAGCATGTGGTCAGTGGACCAGGCAAAGTGTGCTGAACTCTTGAGCTCCTAATGGAACCCCGAGTACTTGAGTGATCTAGTCTGGTTTTCACTTTCTTTGGCAAAATTAATCTGCATACGTGTCTGTCTTGGTGACAACCCAGAATGGTGAAATGCACAATCGCTCCTACCAGGGCAGAAGATGTGGATACAGATATTTCCCCTTCCTAACAAACTAGCAACAGCACACGTCTTCTGTTGTGGTCAGGGCCATAGTTAACATATTTTCAGCTGAATTTTTATGCCGTGCCTCCTTTGCCTCCTTGGGTTAAATCTGTCCATAAGACTTTTATCCAGTGAGAACAAGAGCAGTGCTTGTGCATACCAGCACCATTCTGAGCAGGTGCAGCCCCTCATGGCTCCTGTTCGCCTTCTGGGACAGGTGTTACTGTCATCCCTTTTCTTACGGATGACAGAAGAGAGACTTAGGGAGAGTAAGCCACTTTCTCAAGGTCACACAGCTAGACGGTGGAGCTAGGTTTTGAATCCAGCCTGACTTCAAAGCTTGGCTGCTTCCCTGCCTCATTTGAAAGTTTTGATAATTTAGTGTCTTTCATTTGTTCCTCTGAAATGTATTAAATGCTTTCTCTCCAGGCTTAAGCACAGAGAAAGTGTCCAGCAATGTTTCACAATTATGATTTCCAGGTTTGGAGTTAGGACCTAGGAATTCATAGAGAGTCCCTAAAGGTTCCCAGGGGAACTCGCTGTGCCCTTCAGACAATGTGAAGTTTCCTCCTTCTCATTCACTTTAATAATTGTTTCCCAACCCTTCTATAAATTAGTGAGATTTTGTGTTAGTGGCCCTTTATATAGCCAGCCTTCAGTTTGAAATAAGGGGGGGGTGGTGGAAATAATTATGTTTTGGTGATTATATATTGGTTTTATGTTTGCATTTTTATTACAAAGTTATTTTGGACTATTTTCATGGTATGAATATGTATATGGTTACAGTGACAACTTCTAAGTGCAAGTGCGGGCTCTGCTGTCAGGCTCTGACATAACTGGGTCCACCTTGGATTCCACTGATGGATGTTCACTTGAGAAAGTGACAAAGGACTCATTTTACATGACAGATTTACTGTAGAATAGTCTGTTGAAACAGAACCAGGGGACGACTTTAGAAGAAACCATCAGGTATTGCTTAAAAGCTATTTTCAGTTTAAACTACCAGGGTATGGTGCTGATAACGTTCGTTGTACAGTAAATGGTATGCTTCAGTCTTAAAATGTGTTTTGCCAACTTCCTTCTGTAAGGAAAGTGATTATTTTATATCTGTTATTAGAGATTGCCAATTTATTTGTGTGCATCTTGAGGAGTTAGAAATTTTCCTTTTGCAAGCTGGTAAAAATTTGTCCTTGTCGACCAGGTAACCTTTGCTATTTAATACCACTTAATACCACAGATATGTGCATTTTCATAAAGTGACATGAGCTTGAAAAAATAAAATTATAGGGGCGCCTAGCTGGCTCAGTCGGTAGAGCATGTGACTCTTGATCTTGGGGTCGTGAGTTTGAGCCCCCTTGGGTATAGAGATTACCTTAAAAACAATCTTTAAAAAAACTGTATTGAAGAGTTGGAGGTTCTGGTATTTTATGACGAAACAAAAGTGTTCACGTGTACAGGATAGTGCACTCTAGTAGCGTGGGTGAAGAGTAGCACTGCTTGGTATTACTTTGTTAAACCTTGTGAATTTTCCATGGTACGACCACCATGTTCTTTTCAGAGTAATGAATATAAGCACACAGTCTTTGGGTTTTTTTTCCGGAGGTAAGGAAAAGCCATATATTGCATGGCACTCTGCTCAGTAAGTTCTTATTTTGAACCAAAGCCTATTTCACGGTTCTATCTGAAAGTAATTCTCTATGCGGACGGAATTCCTCAGATTGCTGAATTAATATGCTTATTATGAATACTTGCTAATACAGTAATATTTGACGTAGACATATAAATTGGCGTTTACTGGTAACCGTCACTGCCACCGCCAGCACCAGCAGCACTACTCCTGTTGCTCCCACCATTTACTCAGTGCCCGGCACTGCTTTAAGTGCTCTGTGTCTGATCTCTTGCAACTCTCTCCACTCCCAAGAGGTACGTACCACTTTTAGCACCATTTCCAGCCGAGGAAACCGAGACACACAGAGATGTAGCGCTTGGCCTCAGGTCCTCCAGCTGGTTGTGATGAAACCAGGATTTGCCCCCAGCTGTATTATGGAGTGGTTGCTCGTAACCAGAGTACTGCAAATGCCTCGCCAGGGAAGCTCCTTAAGCCTGTTACAACTCAGTCTCCGGCAGTTAAACAATAAGTTCACTGATACTTAGGGTATCCGTGCAACAGTACAGCAAAAATTTGGGGAACACGGAATTTCATTTGTTGAGCCCCTTTCTCGTGATTTCATCCTGTTTCTGTTCAGATAACATGACGAACTTCTATGCTTTTGTTTTTGGTGCATGGTTGCGTATGCATCACGTACCGATGAGGCATCTCGTGAGCTGAGTAAATAATCCATTCTACTGCTGTTCCACTCGATATATAGACGGTGCTCTGTGACTCCTGATGTCCTTCATGTTGCATATGTCCATTAACGGCTCCTTGAGGCTTCGTGGCGTGAATACAAACCTGGAGTCTGAGCTCAGGTGGTGCCTAAGGAACACCGCAAAGAGTGCCTTTGTCGTGCCTGTGTGTGTGCTAGCCCTGTGAGAGCCAGCAGGCTGCCGTAGAGTTTGGGGATTGGCACTTGCTCTCCATTCATCTCCAGCATCATTTCCTTTCATGAGAAAACATGGCCTTGTTGGGAGCAGTCTGTGCGTTCCCTTTGGACTGTGGCATTTCGTGTCTGGGGTACTTCTGTGTTAATCCTGTGGGTGTTGCCGTTCCTTTTACCTGCAGCCTCTCGACGTCATTCCAGGTCCACTAGTGCCCTCTCCACTGCTGAAACTGTTGGGCAGTCAGGTGAACACGTGCTAACTGCATGCCTTGGCTTCTTCATATGTTCCAGTTTCGCACCCATTTTCGCATTTGTTTTCATCAGTGTCGGCTAGCACTTGGCATGTACGCCCTTCATATTTGTTTTCCCCAACGTGCTTTGATTTTTTTAAGTTGTTGAATGTTTATGGTTCTGTTAATAGGCCGTAGATGCTTTATAGCCTGTTTGACAACATCATTTCTCCAGTGTTCATGTTTATGTGAAAACAAAACAAAACAAAAACACGGGGAGGGGCTTCTACCCCTCTTTTGACTCCCTCCCGAAATAGGAGAACAGTCACCGGAAATAGGTATCCCGAAACGTCCCTGTGGGGAAAGAGGGGATGGAGGTCCCTCGACAGTCTTTCATTTCCAAAGGCTTTGCTCCCAAAAAGTGTTGATTACTGATGTTAATTATTAGTGTCAAGTTCTGATTACTTGGAGGAACTGTTTAGTTATTAAATGTTCCAGATCCTAGCGTGCATGATTTTATATGTATAAATATTTGTCCTAAAACTTTTACGGAAAAACAAGGTCACGATTCAGGTAATCAGGTCAGGCGGCAGGTAGCCTTTGCAGCCTGTGGTCCCCAAATGTTCTGTCCCAGCCCGCTTTAACGATACCAGAAATCCCCCGGTCAGCCTTTGGGGCAAAAAGTAAGCATACCGAGATGCATCAGTTTGCTGGATTTAACTGACATCATTTTTACATGATAACTACAGTTTTCTTACCTGAGTAAGGCATTATGTATTAAATCACAGCCTGTCGATGGGGACAACTGTCACCAACTCATGGAGTCATTTTCTCTGTTTCCTCTAAGCGAAGCGAGCTATGCTTTTTATTATGCACACTCTGAAGAGTACAGTCCCCTGAAAATCAGGGGCCAGACTGTGAGGGCACAGTCACACGTATCCATCTCTTGGGAAATGGAGCTTCATCATAACATCAGAGCAGTGAGTGTAGAACGGACTTTGCTCTGGTGAAAACAAAAGGCTTGTAACTTTGCTCAGATCCAGACAAACATTTCCCCTTCAGATTTGAAATTCAAATGATCTATGATATATATCCAGTGATCTGCAGTCACTGTGTATGGCGGAGCTGTATGCATCTGGGAAGCACAGAATAATTGCATTGTTCTTACAGTTTTAATTTTCTGTCTAAAAAAATCAGTATTATCCCTGGAGCAAGAATTGCTGGCATGAGATATACTTTTTTTTTTTTTTAATTTTTTTAGATTCCGTTTTATTTAAGTTTATGCTGGGTAATTTTTAAATGGCTTACAACTGAATTATTTTCATTTTGTTACTCATAAATCCCTTACTATCTACCCTTTTTTAATGGAAAAAAGACTTGAGCAAAGATCATGTATAAAACCATACACACAGCAAATCTCAAATTTACACTTGTTTCATATGTCGACTGATTATATATATATATATATGCATATATGGGGAGAGATCTAGATATAATTGCTTTGTGGTCTCTTAGTTTATATGGCACATTTAATCATCTTTTAAACAGAACGGCTAAGACAGCATGCAGTGTGACCAACAAGTGCATTAAAAAAGGGGATAGTGTAACATACAATTTTTGTTTCTTTATAAAAATTCATGACTGTATAACGTTTTGGTTAGCAGTGTTTAAATATTTTCCCCTTTCGGTGGCGCTGGAAGGTGTAATTTTTTGAAATCGACATTTTAAAAAAGCTAAGTAACACCTCACTTTCAGAGTTCTTGTTTTCTAAAGAACTCTTGTTACATATCTAGAGTTTTAAATATATCACTTTATAAGAAAGATCAATTCACATAAAACAGATTTAGCTTTCCTTTTATTCTAAATGCTTCATTATGGCTAATAGGGTTTGTTTTTTTGTTTTTTCCGTCCAAATAGTGTCTTATTTGTTCACAAAAAGAAAGCATTTTTTATCTTAACATTTTTCTTCAAAGATTTTTTTTAAATACATTAGGATTTTAAATAAGAAATGCTTGCCAGTAAATAGTATGATACACTTAGGGAGTATAAATTATATGAGCTTTTTCCTGTTATAGCTTTAACCTCAGCTCTTCTTAAGGAAGGCTGGTCTCCTGATGTAATGGGGCTTTTAAAAAGCTAGTCTTCATTGTCCTTGATCCTTAACAGGCTTAAAATAATTGAACTGCTGAAATTTATTTTAAATTCTTTGGATCATACCCATTTTGTTACATGTTTAGACTATCATTTGAAAATCCTTTGAGAGACTCAGGAAAAATGTATACTACTGTTATCCGAATGATTAATGTTTTGCAGTGAAGGTGCTAGCTTTTTGTGATGATCATTGAAGAATTTTAATAAGCTGATTTTTAAATAACCTTTGGTGACACAGGCATCATGAACAAATGCCAAAAATTAATTGAGCTCAGTTAATGACAGTTAAACAGTCGTGACACTAATGAAAATTTGCAGAGATCAATCGAATGCATTTGTTTCAGATTTTAACTTTTTATTACACATTGCATTAGAACCCTATTGTCAAACCGTGAGGCTTTCTAATTAGTTTGACCAAACATCAGGGCCAACTTGCCTCCAGAGGGAACGCTAAATAGATTAAAAAACTCCTCCCACAGCCCAGCTCGCTTCTATAATAAGTTCCCCTTTCTCTCTCCCACGTCTCAGCACTTTTCAAAAATAAAACATTAAAGAGCCATTTCAGTTGTTAGGATGCTTTGTGGCACGATGGTATTAAATATGGAACAACCTAACCTCTGCCGCCGGTAAACAAGTCTAGTTAAAACTCTAAGTGAAGGGTAGTTCCGATTGGCTAGAGACTTTCCAGTGCCTCTGTCCAGTAGGTGGGAAGAGGCAGGAGCCCTTGCAAAGGATTGAGAAAATTTGAATTAAAGTGACATGTCTTTCGGTTTTGTTTTTCTTAAATAGACCGGTTTGGGCTTGGCCAGGCAGGAAGAATACCTGGCTCTGTGAATGCCATGCGAGTTCTGAGCACAAGTACAGACCTCGAAGCTGCTGTCGCCGATGCTTTGGTAAGAGTCGCAGTGTGTGCAGTCTCTTTGACTTACTTAGCCACGGTTTTCTCTGTCCTACCAGAAAATCGCCTCCAAATCAGGGTACTAAATCACCCTGGGCACTCTGTAAAACTGTGTAAATACTGGGTAAACTGATATTATCATCACTTTCTCTTTAAACTCCTATCCCTCTACGTAAGTGAAAATCGGCCCTCTACAAAAAATTCTCGCACCAGGTGTTCGTTCTGTGCTCCTTAGTATCAAGGAAGTTTTGATGGCATTGGGCTTCTCTGATGTCATTGGGCTTCTTTTTTTTTTTTTTTCTTCCCCTTTTCTCCATTTTTTTTCCCCCAGCGTTTCCTTTTTTCATTCTCCTGCTTCTATTGCTTTACAGGCTCTAATGGCATAGCCTTACACGTATCATTATAATAGTAGGTAACAGAGTTTGTGGTTTGAAAATCTCGCATTGATTCCAGGACCACACTAGTTGTTCCTTGCGATTTTACCTTTGTTTGTCTTTAAAAATGAGTCATTATTTAAGGAAACTCCTAAATTTTAATGCCAGTGAAGTCTGAGGATATAAAGCACTGGTTGAATATGTTTTTGCCTCATTATAATGGAATATCTTAAAAATATATATATATAAAGTGAGTAGAGGTCCTTCAATTTGTGGTCAAATTGCTTTTTAAAGATGCATTTCAGCTGGTAGTGACACTGCCTCTAGCATATTCTGGTTGATGTGCTCAGCATTTAAAATAGATCCTCTTTAGAACTGTCTGATCTCTGGCCTTGCTTGTGCTGTTTTAAGATATATTGTCTCTCTGAGGAAAAACGTATTATAACATCCTGCTTTCAGACCCAGAAATTTTAAACCCAGCCCTGTTTTTCATCTGATCAAAATGTTATAGTCTGTGGCTAACAGGGATTCTCACTTTCATCCCGTCCTGTGTCGCCCTCATTTATTCTTGCTCAGTCAGATTTCTTTGACAAGTGACTGTGAGCAAGCAGTTTGCCACTCTCCTGATGCTTTTCCTGTAAGCAAGGGCTGCCTGGCCAGCTCTATTCATCAGCCTTCTGTGTAGAAGGGCTTTTTTTCCTGGCAGGTACTGGAGTTCAGGATAATTGCTCTAACCATGGCTCTGACTTCAGAGTCATGAGCTGGAACGGAACTCTGTGAAGCTATTTTTCCTTCCAAGCTGCAGCACTGAGAATCTGTCTCTTACTTATTCAGAGACCCTATTAGGAGGTCAGAGGGGTGGGAAATGATGGATGTGCAAAACCCTTAGTTAAATGGGACTTCCAGTTAAGGCGGGGGAGTTCCCTCATTCTTTAAAGAACCGCCCAAGGGACTGTGCACAAAGTTCTAGGAGGCAGAGTCGGACTTGAGAACTTGAGCTTCGGCTTTCCTTGACTCGGGCTTTTCTCTGAGCTCTAGCTCTCGGTCCACTCAGGCTGCCCTTATTACTCTCTGTCCAAACTGCTTGGCCTCCCAGAGTGACCTGCTGCAGAAGAGAGAGCGCAAGAATGGTACACAGTGTTTGCCTCCCAGGGTAGAAGCCCCAGGGGCAGACAGAATCTAGCGTAGGAGCAGACAGGAGAATTAATGGTGACTTTCGGGATGTACCTCGGTGGTGTGGGAAGAGTTTTAGCATAGCAAGAAGTGTAGCGAGTACTGGAAGGCGTTTCTAGGAGGTGTAGGAAGGGCTAGGTAATGCCATTGTGAAAGCGTTCTTTGTTATTATTCACTTGATATGAATCGCTTGCTAACCTATATTTTTGGTTTGCTAAGATATGTTTTGCTGTACACTTTTGTTGCAAGAACAATCCCCACATATGCTTCTGACATAATTCTCTATGCTTTTTCCCCATCCTTCAATATTTTCCTGCCTACAGCTGTTAGGAGACTCCAGGAGCAAGGTACCAGTGCTTTAACTTTTGTTTTACAACTTCATTTTTTTCTGTTGCGAGTATATTTCCTTTAGGGGCTAGTGAGAGCAACAAAGCATGTAATTAGAAATTCTGGTCTGAATTACGATTTTGTCGAGTCTAGTGAAGCTGTTGTTAGCAATGGAATCAGTCCCCTCTCTCATCTGTTTTAGTGGGTTTTTTGGTTTTTTTTTTTTTTTTTGAATCTCAAGCTCTGCTCCTTCTATCAGTGTTTTATTAACCCAGTTTGTGTCTACTCTTAATGTCATTACTATTTCATGAATGGATATATTCAACATTTTTCTTATTTTACAAATCTAGTTTGTTTATGTGTGTGTGTGTGTGTATGTATATATATATAAGATGATCCTATAATTTATCATACTAACAAGGATACTTCTGAAAGTGAAAAGGGGTGCTACTTAACTCATTAACTCTGCTGGGACAAGAGGCATAAGGCAGAATTGTCCTGAGCAAGTTGTGGTGGATGGACAAGCCATACATTATTAGAAAATTACGTTTGTGAAAGAAAAAAAAAAAAGAAAATTGCATTTGTATGCTTTCAGCCAATTAACTTTTTTTTCTTTTAGGGAAAATTGTATCTTATCAGTTTAATAGCTGTTGCTATATTATTTATGGGTTTAACTTACAGTTTTGTATTCAGGGTAAGAGAAACGAATGAAGGGTCTGCAGGAAGCCTATTTGTGTTCAGATAATTTAAGCATCCTTTTACTTGGGCTACTCTGTCCCTGACATTTCAGTTTCAGACTTTCTTGAGGAAGCATGGATATTCCAACAAAGTTTCCCACAGACCCTGCTCACGATAGATTGCTTCTGTTTGTGAAGGGCCCGGTGGGGGTGCATACCTGCAGGGTGGCAGGGGCTGAGCCAGGTTAGTTCACACATGCTCCCAGCAGGCGTGTGGGAGGTAGCATTGTCATTTCAAAGATGAAGAAAGTGAAGCAGGAAGGTGAGGAGCTTTCTGAAGTTCCTCAGCCAGTCAGTGGTGGCAGGACTACCACCCGAGTCTGCCCCACTGGGAAGTCCACACACCGTCCTAGAGACCACACTCTTCCGTCTCTGCTACGGACCGCTCTGCCTGTTACTTACTATCCTGACTGGATGTCTGCTTTTCGGTTTTTATTTCCCTGATCTGTGAGCACAGGAAAGTGTGGTGCGTGCGTACGTGTGTGTGTGTGTGTGCGCGTGCGTGCGTATCTTTTTACCTGTAACTCTGTTGTTGATCTTGTGTGGTGTGACTCATGGTCATTTCACCTTCCCATGTCTTCCTCCATCACCCCCACCTTCGTTGGATCTGACAGAAGAAGCCTGTGAGGAGGAGGTACGAGCCGTATGGGATGTATTCGGATGATGACGCCAACAGCGATGCCTCGAGTGTTTGCTCTGAGCGCTCGTACGGCTCCAGGAATGGTGGCATTCCCCATTATCTGCGGCAGACTGAGGACGTAGCAGAAGTTCTCAACCACTGTGCCAGTTCCAACTGGTCAGAAAGGAAAGAAGGGCTTCTAGGCCTGCAGAACTTACTGAAGAGCCAAAGAACACTGAGGTGAGGACAAGGAGGCCAAAGTCGTGAGCCAAGTTTGAAGTCCCGTATTACACTTAGCAGTGGTTTAAGGGGGCTCCCTGTCATTCAAGGAGTCCTTACTGAGTTCCAGGCGCGGGGGCAGGCACTGCGGGTGCTAAGATGACTAAGACATGGTCTTTGCCTTCCAAGGACTTTGAAATATCTGACAAATACTCTATTAGGTTTATAAAACATTTGGTTCCGTTACAGTTCATATTTATCTGGTAGGTGTTATTTGAGAAGTCTTGATACAGTTTGCAAGTTAGGTAAAAAATAACTCTGCTGGTTGGTATGGTTCATTATACTTTGGAGTTGTGGGTAAAATCATAGCAGTCTCAGCCTCAAATTTTGTAATATATGCATACATATAGTTTATAAACGTGTATAGTAACGAGATACTAAAATGGAGTACTTTAAAGTAGTACCAGCATTATTACTAGAGTTGATTATTTTGCTTTTCTCTTTGCTTCTATATCTCACAAATTTTCTAAAATGAGCATGTATCGCACATACCAAAAAAGTATATGTTTATACCATATTTCATCAAATCTGAGGCACGGTTGATACACTGCTATTTTATATCCCTCTAAGAAGAAATGCTGCTTATTAAACCATGGCAGTACTAATACATCTTTGATTATAATATGAATCTCAAAATTACAGAGATGTTAAAATGTGAAAAATTGGGCAAGTTAGAATCCCTGAAGTACAGATATGATGTTCTTTGGAGATTTTTTCTAAGATAACCTGTGAGTGCGTAAGTTTATGGTCACGGGTAGGCTCTGCACAGCTAAGTGAACCTTGACTAGTGGATCCCTGTGCTGTAAGTGTGCCCACATCCGGTCTGTCCGACTCCACCTTGCTGTGTTCGTATCTGTTACGTGCCATTCCCCCACCGAGAGGTCTTGAGAAGTTTTGTCATATGCTTTCTGAAATGCACATAGCCTCTGATGCTCTAGTGAGCTGTCGAAAACAAAATGAGGATTAAAAAAAAAAGGATGGTTTGTTGAGATTATTATTCCTCAAAATCTGCTTAATTCTGGCGATCCTGGTTTCTTGATTTTTAGTGTTCACCAAGTATCCACTGAAGAATCTCTAGAAATCTGTTGGTTGGCATTGGTCTAACTAGATCGTGTTGTTAATAATGTTAAAGGATCATCGAACCAACTGTCTTCATCTGTATGAAGGGGGTATTACTCAAGGGTGATTTGGGGAAGAGATGATGACGCTTATTCAAGCCTTGAAGGAAAAATGGGACTCGGTAGTATATATAGGTAAGGGTCAGAAAAGGCAAAAGGGCACTAACAGGAAATGAATGTTTGCTTGGTCTCAGCAGTGGCAGGAATGGCAGCGTTTCCTCCTTTAATCCTCCCTGTGGCCATTTGTTTGATACAGATCTAAAGACATCCGAGTACTTGGTAGCAAAACTGAGATTAAAATCCAGGTCCATCTCACCCCAAAGCGCATGCTTTTCTTATACTTTATCCCATTGCCTTTCATCTGTGGTAGGTGGAAAACAGACCTCAAATGAAATGAGCGGGGATTTAGCTCAGGGCTTTGCCACTCCCATGTGTGCGAACTTTGGTAATCACTCTCTGAGATTCAGTTGCCTCATTTTGAGAGTCAAACTGTCATGGTTTTATATTTCTACTTGATTTCATCATGAATTAAATAAAATGATTCGTTTGTGAAAAAAGCTTTAAAAAAGCTGTCACTAATCTCAGTTTTGACTCATTAAATTCTAAATTTATTTATTTCCATTTTATTCCCTCTAGTCGAGTAGAATTGAAAAGATTGTGTGAGATCTTCACCCGAATGTTTGCTGACCCTCACAGCAAGGTAAGTCTGGGACTCGTGCCTGCCGATGCCCCCTCTGCATGCCCACGTGAGCTGTATAATACACTACTTAAGAGTGAGAGAGATAATTCCTCATACAGATACAACAGTTTAGACCTTACAGATACAACACCAGCTTCAGCAGCTTATGTTATATCTTTTAAAAAAGACTTCTTGGGAACTTCACATGTCCATAAAACTTGGAGCTAAATAAACTAAATAAAATTTGTTTTAAGAGTTAATGGAAAGAATAAGATATAGTCATATTCAGATGCTTTGGGGTACCTCCTGTTAGCCAAATAGTGGGCTAGGTGCTAGAATAAAAAATCATATTCTAATGCAATGCCTTTTTTTTTCTTAACAGAAATGAAAAAGATAATCAAGTCTATAATTATTTTTTTTTGTACCCCATGTAGAATTTGCCTATATAGGACAAGATAAAAAAATAGAAGCATTTATGTAATGGATTTATTGAAAAATCAGGTTAAGCTATTTCTCCAAATAGAATTTTCCTGTCCCCAAGAATTTGCCCGATGGTGGCCACCTAGCTGGCATCCACACTCCCGGGGTCCAAGGAGAGCACTGAGTCCTGAGGGGGGGATCCCTGCTGGGAGGAGAACACCCCTGACTATGACCCAGGAATGGTGCTGAGAGAGGGACCCTTTACAGAAGCTTGCTTGGAGTTTAGATTTGAAACAAATACCATTAGTTTGGGAGGAATCCTAGTTGGATGCTTTTAGAGAAAGAAAAGGGGGGGATTGAGTTTATTGGGCAAGTTTAAAGGATGGATAAAGGACAGGACCAGAAGTGCAAAAATTGGTAGAACCTTAAGTCAGCATAACCAAATCTCATATGCTTGACAGTGCAGGATTTCATGATCTCAAACCACAGTTTTCCTAGTAAAAATGGTCTCTTGTAAGTCTTATGGGGAGGAGAGCTGTCATGGCCAGAAAGTGCAGCCAGTTATTGTGACCTCCTTTCCTTTCCTGCCCTGTCTTTCTCATCAGAGTCATCAGACATGCTCTGTCCAGTCATTCAGCACTCAGTACTTGCTCTGGGCTAGGGACACAGAAAACAACACGGGACCCGTGTTCTTCGAGATGCTCATGGGAGCCTAGGAGAATGAATGTGGGGGTTCTCTTTTTTCTGCAGGGGTAGTGGGTGGGAGACAGCAGTTCTCCTCGGTACTGGTCTTGAAGCATGTCTTAAAATTCCTGTGATGAACCTCACAGCAAGGTTAACATTAAAAACATAAGTAGAATCCAAGAAAGGTTGAATTCTGGGGCCACAGAGATATCCAAAGATACAATTATCACTATTTTTCTCTAAGATAGTGTTTAAAAGCAGGAAGACTGGGGCACCTGGGTGGCTCAGTCAGTTGAGCATCAGACTCTTGATCTCGGCTCAGGTCTTGATCACAGGGTCATGAGTTTGGGCCCTGTGTTGGACTCCATGCTGGGCGTGGAGCCTACTTCCAAAAAAAGGGGGGGGGGCAGGAAGATTTTAAGCATAAGATTCATAAGAGTTAGAGCATAAGGGATGTTAGGTAGTATGGAGCATTGATGAAATTTCTGTTACCTGTCACCTCTAGATTGCTGATTCAGAACCAGAATGTGAGGATAAAGAAGGAAATTTGTTTCCATCAGAAGGCTCTTGTACAGTGAGTTTGGAGGTCTCAGTTTAGTTAATATTTGCTAGCTGCCTTTGAACTAAGCCAGGAATCCCATAGCTGGGGGCTCAGTGAGTTTTTTTTCTGAGCTGTCTCACGGGAGACCCCTGGTGGTTAATAGTTGCTGTGCTAGAACTGAGTAGGTATATAATAGCTGGGCTGTCCCAGTAGAGCATGACTCATTTATTAGCCAAGTAGGGGACACAGTGCTACTTATCTCTCTGAAATCGGTTCGAGGATAGTCCACTGTGGACTCTTATCTCACCTTATACAGCATTAATGATTGCACAGCAGCATGAGAATTATGTGGACTGTATCTTTTATTCTAAGCCATAATTTTTTATAAAGACTATATTGACTTTTATAATATCTTTTTATATTGTATTACTTTACAATATCTGAATTGGCCTACATCGAAATCTACAATGCTCAAGGTTTTTTTCCTCCCTCATCTTGTAACATTACTTGTTGAATGCTAGATAATGGACAGTAATAGTATGGAATTCTGATGGTTAAGAGACTTTTTTTTTTTTTTTTTTTAAGAGGAAGGAAGGATGGAAGGAAGAGAGGCCTCCAGGATTAAACTAATACCTTTCAGCAAAGTTAATTTCTCTCGGTACTGAATTTTGAAGGCATATTGAGGGAGGGGAGAGTATCAGTATCAGTTTGTAATCTTTTCAGGTCTTTTAAGAAACTGCATGAAAATGGTTATTAATTCACTGTGGACTAACATGGAATTTGTTTTGTTGCATGGCCTGGTTTGCGGTGGAATTCACAACAGAGAGTAAGTTCCGATCCTTTTTCCTTTATTTTTTTTAATACATTTGTCTCCTCTAATATGACCAGTCCATTTTTAATAGAGACTTTGGAGGAAATTATGAATTACATATGTGAAATACTTGGTTTTCATTTGTGCCTAGGTTTTCAGTATGTTTTTGGAGACTCTTGTGGATTTTATTATAATTCATAAGGATGACTTGCAAGACTGGCTTTTTGTTCTTCTCACACAATTACTTAAGAAAATGGGAGCAGATTTACTTGGATCTGTGCAAGCAAAAGTTCAGAAGGCTCTAGATGTCACCAGGTAAGGTTTTAGAGGCCAGACCATTTTTTTCCCCAGCTTTTGATATACAACTGACATACAATGTCGTGTAAGTTTGAAGTATATAACGTGATGGTTTGACACATGTGTATATTGCTGAATGATTACCACAACGTTAGTTAACATATCCTTCACTCACATAATTGCCATTCTTTTGTTGTGGTGGTGGTAAGAACATTTCAGATCTATTCTCTTAGCAACTTTCAAGTGTGTAATACGGTATCATTAATTGGAATCACCATTCTGTACTTTAGATCCCCAAGGCTGATTCATGTTGTAACTGGAAGCCTGTACCCCTTAACCAACATCTCCCCATTTTTCCTACCCTGTACTCTCTGGCAATCACCATTCTACTCTACTTTTAGGGATTTGGCTTTTGGGAGAGGGCGTGGCGTGGGGATTCCACATACAAGCCTGATCATGCTTTATTTGTCTTTCTCTGTCTGGCTTATTTCACTTAGCATAATGCCCTCAGGGTCCATCCATGTTGTCACAAATGGCAGCATTTTCTTCTTTTTTATGACCAAATAATATTCCTTTGTGTTTTGTTTTTTTTCCATTCTTTTGTTGACAGACACTTAGGTTGTTTTGTACCTTGGCTATTGTAAATAATGCTACAGTGACCATGAGGTCGAGATAGTGGTTTCATTCCCTTTGGTTACATACCCAGAGGTGGAGTTCCTGGATCATATGATGTTTCTATTTTTAATTTTTTGAGGAACCTGTACTATTTTCTGTAGTGGCTGCACCAGTTGACATTCCCACCCACAGTGCAGAAGGGCTCCCTTTTCTCCACGTCCTTGCCAACACTTGTTCTCTCTTGTCTTTTTGATGATAGCTAGGAGCTGTGAGGTGATACCTCCTTGTGGTTTTGCTTTGCATTTCCCTGATAGTGATGTTGAGCATTTCGTGTATTTGTTGGCCATTTGGATGTCATCTTTGGGAAAATGTCTCTTCACGTGGGCTAGACCATGTTGATGTTACAAGACTCTCATAGGTGGTTTCTTGCCATTCTCTTCTTACCCATGGTTTTGTCATCTGCTTGAATAAGTACTCTCTTATACGATTTCCACATTCTTTTGTTAACATATTTGTTGAAATGTTCCTGCATTTGATGAGATGAAATACCCATATCCTCCTTGAGCTGGTATTTTTGTGAACGCTCAAGACAAATTAAAAACAAATATAAAGCCTTGCAAATTGATTCTCTTCTCTTTGAAAGACATTTGAGTATTTATTTATATCCTTCTGAATACCTCAGTATTTTTAATACTTCCAACTTCTTATAAGTCATACTAGAAATTTTTCTAGCCACGTGTGATGTACCTTTTGTCCAGGTATGATCTCTATTAGATTCATTAGCTCGGAGATTGCTAACACAGCAGTTGTAACCCTCTGGCTGTTGTGAAGAAAGAGAGAGGATCTGTGGGGACTCAGAGGCATGTGAAAAACTGACCATGTGCTGTCATTGTTGAGCAACCTCTAATCAATTATCTCTACAGTTGTAGGTCCTCAACATACAAGTATTAGAACTTAAACGACCTCAGAAGACACTTGGCTGTAATGTCTTCATTATGATTTGGTGGAAGATAGAAGCTTGTGTGTCAGATCAATGAATTTTTAAATGAATAAACAAATGACTTCAGAGCAGATAATTCCCATCAGTACAGTAACTTTTATACAACCCAGTTACTATCCATTGGGTGATGACTGCATATCATAGAATTTCCAAAACGGAAGGACCCTTCCTCATTTTATTTTTTTAAATATTTTATTTAGTTATTTGACAGAGAGAGCACACAAGCAGGGGGAGCAGCAGGCAGAGGGAGAAGCAGGCTCCCCGCTGAGCAGGGAGCCCGATGCAGGGCTCGATCCCCAGGACTCTGGGATCATGACCTGAGCCGAAGGCAGACGCTTACCATCTGAACCACCCAGGCACCCCCCTTCCTCATTTATTAATGAGGAAACAGACTTTACTTGACTTGCCCGGGTCACATTCTGTGTTAGTGGCAGGCTGGGGGCTGGAATCCAGGCCTGCTGGTTGTTGCTCCGTTGTCTGTTCCTCTGACTGCAGGCTGGTCTGTGGGCAGGCATCTTCCTGTAGGAGGGTGTGGATAGCCTTTGCACTTTTTCTTTCCTCTCTGGCTCCCTCAGCATAAACTCCCCTGCCATCATCCCCCACGCATGCGTCTGTTAGATGTCTCTGACAGCAAAACATGCGTTTGTTCCTCTACACACTGATGCCGACTGTTTGCTTTTGGTCCCTGACCCTGTAGATCTGTATCATCTGTGCTGCTACAGAATTTTATTATCCAAATAGATCCCTTTTGATTTTCACTGAGGTCAGTGTAATATACTATATTTACAATAAGCCTTTCAAATGCCATCCCTCCTTGGGTTGAGTAAGTTTAGTGGAATTAGGGAACATACCTAGTGATACCAGTGTTATCAGTGGATTTGTAAAGTTTCAACCGGGGATTGACTAGAGGGGTGAGGCTGATCCAGCTTATAATAACTGAGTGAAGAGACAGGAGGGAGGGTGATGCGTGGGCCGGGGAGCTGCCATGTTGGCATGTGGGCCCAGTGGTACCAGACTTCTCAAGAAAGGTCAGAAATGTGGGTTAAGGCAACACATTTGAGGGGTTTTTTTGTTTGTTTTTTTGTTTTGTTTTGTTTTTTAATGACACTCTAAAAGCCAAATAAAACATTTGTGAGCCAGACTTGGCCTAAAGGTCGCTTCCTTAATATAGGTGAATTTATGAATGGCAAAACCATTCAGAGTTTAGGGATGGCAAGAATGTTAAGATTCTACTCCTAAACTTTGGTGATTAAGGAAAACCCTGTTATTATTTTCCTGGATGCCTCTTCCCTTTAAGAATCCTATGGTCTCTGAGAAACAAACTGAGGGTTCTGGGGGGCGGGGGGATGGGTTAGCCTGGCGATGGGTATTAAAGAGAGCACTGGGTGTTATACGCAAACAATGAATCATGGAACACTACATCAAATAAATAGATGAGAGATAGATAGAGGGGGAAAAAAAAGAATCCTCTTCTGGGTAGATTTGGTCTAAGTCTCTAGAACACATTCATCATTCCCATTTCCTCGGCAGCTGAGATGCTTAGCTGTTTAAGCATATTTAGGATCAGTCCGTGAGTACTGGGGGCAGGGGTGAGGGGTCTCCACGCTGGCTGTGAGGGGTTCCTGAGGTGATAGGCCTAATTGTGATCTGTTTCCTTTCCTTTGGCTGTGCCTAACCATGGGCACATTTCCAGATTAAACACACCAGTTTATACTTCAGTGGATTCTCCATTCTCCCCTTGCTGCAGAAGAAAAGAGAGGCGTTTTGTGTGTGGTTTGTCAACCTTGTTTCTTTAATTTATAGGCAGTATGAGTCAGAGAGTCCGAAAAAAGCAGTGCATTCCCTCAGCCCATCATAACAGATGTTCACTTTGCACAGTTTTTCCTGTTAGTGTGGAAGGTGTGTCTGCATTTTCCCACATGGACACCATTCTGCACTTTTAAACTAATGCTAGTGATTGCAGCACTTGAAGGGAGAGAGCACAGATTTTTGCTAGCCAGGAGCCCTCAGGGTTACTCAGTTAATGTCGAAAATGTGAAGCGGCTACAAGAAATGAGCTCAGGAACAGTCCAGAAGTGGAGCAGGAGAGGGGCTCCGAAGGCCCTGGCTTCTGCATATGTGTTGTGGCTGGATGGGGAGTTCCCTTGCTGGGTCTCTCATGGGCACTCAGCTGCGGTGACTCCACAGAACAGAGACCATAAGCAGTTGCCCAGTGGGACCAAGGGAGGACAGCGTGGTTAGCCTTAGCAAGGTCAGCGGTAAGCAGCCCAGTCAGGATGTAAATTCAGATTTGGGAATTGGAAGTGCTTCTCATGAAGCAATATTCAGAAAGGTAGCTAGAGAGAAGATGAGCAGATCCCTTAGAAGGCAGGTAGGAATCTCTTCCTTAGTTTATTGCTTGGTCTTAATTTTTAAAATAGCATAACTCAAAGTAAGTGGAGTGTGTGTTTGGGGACTTTTAGCAGATTTTCCTTTTTCTGAATTTTCCATATAGTGTGTATTACTCTAGTATTTATATAAAATGAAAGGTACAATTAGTAAACTTAGTCAACTAAGGTCAGGCTTGCTTTTATATAAATTAGATTCATCTATAATGGTATATTTTCGTTACTGATACAGTTTTACATTACTTTTTCTAATAAGCCTTTCTTTAAAACTGAGTTTTTTTTCTTCTCTTAAACCTAGGGACTCCTTTCCATTTGATCAACAGTTTAACATTTTGATGAGATTTATTGTGGATCAAACTCAAACTCCTAACCTCAAGGTTGGTAACTATTTGTCATTAGAGTTCAACCTCTATAAGTCAGATTTGCTTAAAATGTACTTTTTTGTTCATGATTCATATTTGGCTGTTATGAATAAATCTGTGAGCATCTTTGCACAACTATTTGGGAATGTGTTCCCATTTCTCTTGGTTGAGTAGCTAGGAGAAAAGTTGTTGGTTTACTGGGTAGTAGGTGTTTAACTTTATTCTAAACTGCAGAAATGGTTACGCCATATTATATTCCTACCGGCAATATAACGGGAGGACCAGTCGTTCCACAGCCTACCAACATTTGGGTATTATTACTGTTTTTCACGGTATTTAAACTAGAAAGCTCTGATGTGTTGAGATAAGGTATCTTATTGGAATGTTTTCAATGTTAACATTCTAACACATGAAAATTAATTGTTACCTATTTTGGAAAATCGTATCTACGATAACAAGACTGAATCTGAGGGAGGGTGTGTGTTCATTTGAATGAGGTCACATACATCAACTGTTCTTTGATTGTTAACTTTTGTTGGGGTTTTAGGATAGGCCCAATAAATAATAACTCTCTTCTCCAAAGGTGCAAGCCCACTGAAGCATCAGTGGAGAAGTTAAGCAGAGTATCAGCTTGATCGCTGAAAATGCTCCCTTGCAAGACATGGCCAAGGTTGTGTAAAAAACAAAGCTAAGTACTTCACGGTCAGTGGCAGCGCTGGAAATCCCGCAGCCTGCCCGTGGGGGCTCATGCCCTGCAGGTGTCTTGCCGCATACGGAAGGAGCAGAGTGTGCCTCCAGTCTAAAACTGAAGAGGATTGAGCTTTATGCCACTCGCCCTGTTCCCAGACTTAACTATCCAGTCATTTCATGCTTTTGTCCCTGGTGGACGCTGCTCCCTGTGCAAACATAAATCCAGGAGGAAGGAGGTGTCCCCTCAAGAGTATTTACTTTGATCAGAATTCTATTCACAGGTTCATAAAGTGTGCTTAATGTTTATAATTATTGGATCTTTCAGGTCAAAGTTGCAATCCTGAAGTACATTGAGTCCCTCGCTCGGCAGATGGATCCAACAGATTTTGTAAACTCTAGTGAGACGAGGCTTGCTGTTTCTAGAATTATAACCTGGACGACAGAACCAAAGAGTTCAGACGTGAGAAAGGTATGTCCAGGAGAGCTCAGGTGCAGCTTTAAACACACACTGTTCTCAGGCATGTGTTAGGAAAAGAAATTTACCTAGAAACTTGCAGACCACCCCACACAGCTACACGGGATCCATTCTCACTCCTTTTCTGTGAAAACCAGACTTTGCTCTCGCCCCTATCTTCTCTGTCCAGTTCCACCTTGTCCCAGGCTTCTGACATCAAAATAAAAATCGGAAATCATGTATGATGGTTTCCTGCTTTCCTTAGGCATCTATTTTGTTCTTTTCAAATGTGAAAGCACTAGTAGTTTAGTGTCTTGTAAGGCCGTTGGTTTTCCATATGTCAGTTTTGTGACATGGACTTTGAGGACAGAATTGAAGATCTAAGGCTGCCCGGCCATAAGGTGCCTCACAGCAAAATGTGGCTGAATGTTTGCTAGGAATATGAATTGCTGAGTTTAAAAAGAACAAACAGTTTTGGATTATATACCACACTTGGAACACACTCTTTTTGAGATGGGGGGCTGAATGAATGGGGAGGTAGAATTCAGATTTTGGAGCCACCTGGACACCAAGGTGTTTTTGGTTTTTTTCATCAGCAGAAGAGAAGTATTGGCTTTCTTCAGAAGTGACACATTGAGGGACATATAACAAAGTAATATAATAGTGCACAGGGACATGCAGTAGTACACAGAGTACCATTTCTCTTACTAGGTAGTGCTCTGCCTCAGGACCATTAACAGAGATTCATTATTATATGTGAAACTTGCCAATTCCTGACAGGTTGCAAGCACGCAACAAGTGTAAGCTCCTGTCTTTCTCTTCCTCTCTGCCTGTCCATGTCCTTATGTGCTTGAGTTTCACACGCAGTTGTTATTCTTTTACTCTATATAGAAACTGAGTAGCCTTTATAAAATACTCTTTTAAAGCCAGCTTCCTCAGTTCAGCTTTCAGACCGAAAGTACTTGATTTTGGTTATTTGTTTATAATCACGAGCTTTGCTTTGTTTCTTCTGTGCCATACTCCTTCCACATTTAGCCTGACCAGTGGAGTGCTTTGGCTTTGATAATGTGGACCACTTGGGTCCAGGCAGGAAAAAAGAAAAGGAGGATTCCAAGCAATAGCTAGCAGGAGTGGTGTATTTCCAAATGCAGACTAACACTTAGCTCGTCCTCCAGTGGAGTTCAAACACAACAGAAGAATTCTCTGGGAGGTTTCTTTGAAACAGTCATGGGTCATGTAAGTCCTGTGTCCACTGTGTAGTAATAAACTAAGTTGTCCAAGGTCAAAGGAACAAGGGCAAATCTTATTCAAGCACTCATTCAAAATTATTATCAAAAGAGCATTTCACTGGCAACCTTTAATGTAGCCATTAAGCCAGTGTTGGATTAGGGAGGAACAGTAGGAGGTGGTTCAATGATTTGGTTGGTATGTAAGTCACAAACAGATACTTCTGTTGTAATTTTCAAAATCACAAGATTGGCCAATAAATACAAAGCCTTCAGGACAGCTTTCTATCTTTAGTCGTAACACACACACGTGTGTGTGTGTGTGTGTGTGTATGTGTTCCTTTTATAATTGGATGTTACTTAAATATTCCCTCCTGTAGGGCTGAAACATACTCTAGACTTACCATGATTAGGGCCTGTGTGAGAGCAGCTCACTTTCATCATAACGTCCACTTTCTCTGGACATGCACATTAGAAATTTGAACTAGAATTTATTTTCCTAACTTTTCTAAACAGGTTGTTATAGGAACTTTTTTCCTTGAGTTCCTCAGCCTTAGGCTCCAGTACACTCAACTTATTTTACTACTAGTTTAAGTCAAATATGGTTAAGATATTAAATTTATTGCCAGAAATCACATGGTTCATTTACTGTTGATCTCCAACACTTAATTTCAGTCATTTTGGATCCTATAGTGTTGCTTTACAAAGCCTGGTCTCCATTGGTATTCTGCTTCTGTTGCCTGCTCTCACTTCCCCTTCCCCATCTTGAGGACTGCTTAATACCTACCTCACCTTCAGACTGAGTTCAAACCCAGGTTCTGGGACAGTAATCCTGATCTTCAGAAAATTTGGAAAGCTTTATTACATTAGTAGTTCTCAGTCCTGGCTGCAATCAAAATCAACCTCAATTCCTGGGCTCTACCCCAGGTAATTTGGCTTAATTAATAAAAAGTGTGGACAGCATTTTGGGTCTCACTGGCTGTTGGTTGATTTTTAATGCACAGAGTTGAGACCCATTGTTTTAGAACATTACCCTGGGGTTGAACCTCAACATATACAGACTATTAGTGTTGACCTGGTTGCCACTAATTTTCTTGGTCCCAGCCTTCATCATCAGGATCTTCAGGACTAGGGCTTGGACTTGCTGCTCCCCAGTGCCTTCCCCACCTCCCTATTTTCACTCACCCTGTATACTCAGCACCGAGCACAATACAAAGTAGACATTTAATAAACATTTTGAATGAATTAATGAATGATAAATGTCCAAAGAGAAATAATCTAATTTTACGTAGCATGTCAAAGCCATCATTTTCACAACCGTAGTGTTGGAGGCCCCCTGTTTTGACCTCTGTATTAGTCTTCTGTTGGACACCAAATCACCACAGACTTAACAGCTTGAAACTACACAAATTTATTATGTTGTAATTTCTGTGATTCAGGAATCTAGCACATGGTCTCTGGGTCCTCTGCTTAAGATCTTAACAGACGGAAATCAAGGTGTTGTCTGGGTTTTTGGTCTCTTCTGGCTCACTGCTGCTTGGCTGAATTCCATTCCTTACAGGAGTGGGGCCGAGGTGCCTGTTTTCTTGCTGACTGCCAGCACGGGTGTTCTCAGCTCACAGAGGTTACCTGCCACCCCGTCTGCCACATGGCCCTCTCCACAACACGGCAGTTTGCTTTTTCAAAGCCAGCAGGAGAATATTTGGGGAAAAAATTTCCCCAGACGTCCAAGATTTGCTGAAAAACCTTAATCTACCCATCTAAGAGTATTAATTTTCTGCCAACAGTAGTTGGGGAGTTTGCAGACAGTATAATTCATTCTACACAATCCTATTAGGGAAAGCACTTTAAGCTGATAGAACTCTTGATTTGTTGTTACCATCTTTAATAATTTACTTTGTTTCCCTTTTCATCTCAGCATTTTGGGGTGTTTGATGTTGGAGAGAGAGGGGTGTCTAAATATTTAAGATGTTTTGAAGAGGAGGGAAGAGGCACAGCCAGAACTGGAATGCAAGCCAGTCAGCAGTGGAGTGTGCTTAGGCCCAAACTGATGGGGGCTAGCAGGAAAGGCTCCCCCCAACCCAGACCTTCACTGGCCTGCTTTATTCTCAAAGTAACCTTGTTCGTGTTTTAGGTATGGGAGCCCTGACTAGTTGTGTTGGCCATACTATACCTTTCTGAAGGCGCTGTGTTGATGTTAAGATACTACAACGTGGGGCGCCTGGGTGGCTCAGTCGGTTAAGCGTCCAACTCTTGATATTTGTTCAGGTCGTGATCTCAGGGTCATGAGATTGAGCCCCACATTGGGCTCAGCGCTGAGTGCGGAGTCTGCTTGAGGTTCTCTCCCTCTCTCAAATAAATACGTAAATCTTAAAAAAAAAAAAAGTTAACAATGTATTGACAATAGGAAGTAGATTCTGGAGTTTGACCTTCTTTGACTTTTGCCTCTGCCACTCGTTGGTGTAAGCTGGCACCGTAACCTCTTAATTCTTGTTTGTTCCCCAAAAATGGGAATGAAAATCCCTGCCTCAGGCTTCATTGGGAGGACTAGTAGAGAAAAATAGCTAAATATTACTTCATTTACGTTGCAGGCCCTGCTCTTGGTTGTTTTGGTTTTGCTATTGCTATTTGTGGAGCAAATGGAGAACCCAATTTTTTTCCAGCATTTAGAAGATTTTTTTTTTCCCATCAACCAAAGGGAATGTGATAATGCAGTAGAATTTTTAATGGTATGTTTATATTTCAGGATTCAGAATCCTTGTGGGTTTGGTTATCATATATGATCCTCTGACATTTAGCACCTACAGTGTCAGATGCGATAGCAGATTTAGCCCCCACATGTTTCGAGAGATGTGATAACTGAAAGCATGGCAAAGAAGCCTAGAAAGTACAGAGATGGTATTGCCTGGAGCAGGAAGATGATAGAAACCTTCAAAAGGTGAAATTTCTGACTGGAAAAAAAAAATTTTTTTTTTTCTTTTTTAGAGAGAGGGAGTGAGGGAGAGAGGAGAGGCAGAGGGAGAGGGAGTATCTTATGACCCTGAGGTCATCACCTGAGCCAAAATCAAGAGTCGGACGCTTAACCAACTGTGCCACCCACGTGCCCCTCTAACTGAAAAATGTTCAAGTCTGATTACTGGTAGGCAGCGTGGCCTAGCCGCAAAGCTCAGGGTTTTCCCATCAAACAGGATTTGAGGCTCAACTGAACTGTGACAGGCTCTTTCAAGAAACGAGTTGACCATTTTGGTCTCCTTTTGACCCTTGCATCGCATAAGGCCAAGAGTGCTGCGACTGCTGGCGAGGATTATGGTTATTACGCACCTAGCAAATGATAGAGGTTTGAAACTGGTCGTTACTGTTGTTATTCTTCCTATTCCTAGCTGTTAGATTATGTATACCTAGGTGATTTTGTAAAAGAAACCAAATACTTTCACAGCTTACAAATAACCCTGGTTTAAGCACTTGCTTCTTCTCTCATTAAATCCTACCGCCTTTCCTGTTTGTCAGTCCCCGCTTCAGCGTAGTCGAGTAGGTGAGGATTTCCCCACTAGGTCAGCTTCCACCTGCTCTGGGCCTGGAGAAGGAAACTTGGAAGAAAATTGTAAACAGGTAGATTTTAAACTATGTACTAATTTGAAAAAAGACACTTCACTGTTTGCATTTTAGATGATTAATACTGATTACCCTTGTCGAGACACTGAAAAAATTCCGAAGAAACCTAAAATTCATATAATACTACGTGATAGTGTGTGTCTGTGTGTGTGTAAATGCTTGTTTTAACGTGTTTTATGATTAACTTCCCTGCCCAAAGAAATAGCTATGTTGAGTGTAGACCTCTACTGTACTTTAGCAGAATGGTGAAGGAGAGATACTAAATGAGAAATGTCTGAAGGTGTTGAGATACCCTTTCTTTGGTGATTTTCTAAAGCAATTTTTAATGACAATCCAGAGGGAGCAGTAATCGTTTAATAAATGAAAAAACTTTTTTCCCTCCCCGAGTTTAAGTTTTCCCCAATTAATACCAGTGCTGAAGCATTTGTCAAAGCTTTATTGATCTCCTGTCTCAAAGAATTCTTTGCTGCTTTCAAGGCAGTTGATAGCCCTGGGAGTGCTTTCCACACAGTGGCAGTAAGATTCGAACGACCTTCTGCCCTCACCTCCCAAATTCTCCTGTTAGGGGTGTGAGTGGGGATCATTTCCTTGCAAGTTGCCATTTGATCTTGGAAACCAGTAACCCTAGAGTTGTCCATTAGAAAAAGTCAGCAGCAGCCTTGAGTGTTTTGTCCGGCTGCTTACCGGCCCCACCTCTTGTGGAAAGCAAGAGTTCAACAATGGGACAAGAACAGGCCTACTCTGCTCTTGGATTCATTATTGCACACGAGCTGTGCTGCAGGCTTTTTTAAACGACTCTCTCCAACTCAGTCCCCATATTTGGAATTATCACTTTAAAGAGAGTGTATTGATGGTAATGATAAATATAACCCAGTTTTCTTCCTTGCTTGGATTCTAGTGTTCTGACTTCTCACTATGACAGAGGGTTGTAGATAAAATATTTTAGGACCATAGCAGTCTCATTCCTTTTAAAACTGTGACGTAAAGTATTTTTAAAAGAACACATTTAAGTCATACTTTCTATCCATTTCTGGAGCTTGGACGTCATTAGAAAGGGTTTTACTTTGGAAACAGCTTTAAACCTAAGGGTGACTTTTGAAGACTGTATAGAATCATTTACATTTTGTGTTTTGGAAAATGTAAAAATAAATTATACTCATTTATATATATGTCACCGCAAATGTACCATCTTTCCAACTAGCTGTATTTTCAAAATTCCCCGTTTTTCTGTTTGATTTTTATCAAATGTAACGTTAACGGTTATTGAAAGAGAAGTTTCTTTAGTGGGCCAGAAGTTAAAGTTGGCTGCACCTTCTTTTCCCGCGTGACTAAGTCATTGACAGCGTGTAGCCATGAATTAGCACAATTTCTGGGCAGCCCTCTTGTTCCTAAAAGATCCCGCTAATTTTAGAATTTGCTTTATGAAAAACCTCAAATTACTTTGTGGTGTTGGATATCCTGTCATTCTGGGAAGAAATGCGGTTTTTAAAGACAGTGGCACATTTCACATAAAAATATGCTATTCAGAAATATACTGTTACATTTTATAATTTTCAGATGTCATTGTCAGTCATTAAAAAATAAGTCCCTAAGCTTTCTTAGTAAATTGGCGACATTTTTTCTCCCTGCTAAATCAAGTCTGTTTTTTTCTGTCTGTTTGAAGTGCAGGTTTTTCTGCATGCATTTTTTTTCCTTAACATCTAATAAAATGGTTTTTTAAATGCACGGGTTACGTTGCATGAGTTTTGGAATTTGCTCCTATACAAATATACAGATCATTGTTAATATATATTACATTGGTGAATTAGATTCCTTCAGATAACTATTTATTAAGAATGTTTCAATAATGAAATGTAAAAATGTAAATTTTAACACAATCAGTAACAATGTGTTTTGCCTCTGTCATGAAAGCACACAGGCCCCTTGGGATTTAATTTGGATGGAAAAGCTACTAATGACTATATTTGGAGGTCAAGGGAAAAAAGGAAGATACTTTTGCCCAATGCTGTGCTTAATAAATGCTTTTGATATGCTAAAAAGTAGTTTTTGATGTTGTAAGAAAACATTCTACTGATATTTTAAATTTCATAATTAATTTTTATTTTTGGTTAAATATATTTGGGTCTCTGGATTATCTTTTTTTTTTTTTTCCCTCTCCAGACAAAAATAATCATTTTGCCTTTATTGGATCCAGAATTAATTTTAACATTGTGAAAGCGTTGAAATATTTTGTGGTGTTTATTTCTAGAGCCTTTCTAAGCAAATAATACATTTTGTAATACCCTATATCATGGAAAAAAATATACAGAATAATTACTGCAATCCTAAAATTGAGTGTGTTGGACAGATAAATGTATCCTTTCGGTCAGAAGATATTCAGAATGTGTTTTTCTTTCTTCTGACTCTCAGAAATTTGTTAAGAAATGCCATTATTTACTAAAGTTTTCTCTTGGCATAGTTTTTCTAAATCAAAACCCTTGGAACGAATTCCTCAGGCTTTTTTAGTGCCTGCTACTACTTAGTACCATAGAAAGCACATAACTTGCTAGAGAAACCTGAGTCTCATTGGGCTACTATTGCTTCAGCTAACTGCTTTCCCACCTTGCTGTAAGAGTGATCACCAGCAGTCCTGCAATATATTGTCTCAGTTAATAAAGAAAAGTAGAGCATTTGCCGAAACACAGAAGAGTACGTTTTTAATTTGTACCATAGAAGTCTGGTTTGCTGCCCATGGACTGTCTCCTCACTTCATAGGCATAACAGTAGGAGTTCTCCGGATGTATTTAGACTCTTTTTCTAGAATTTCTCAGTCCCTCAGAGTGGGCTTGAGGAAAAAGGCTGCTCAACGGGTTGCTCAGATAACCCGTTGGCAGCTCATGGAGAGTCTTGTTCTCCCCAGGATGCACCGGGAGCCCTGTCCAGTTCTGACTTAGTAGAGTGAACCATCGTCAGCCTTTTCACGTTCTTGGATTGTTTCATTTATGGGTTTACCAGCTTTGTGCCTAGTGCTGGACAACACAGGAAAAGTCATTTATTACGAGCATGCTATGGAAATCCAAGGCCAGGGCGTGAAGATGAAACAGGGGTGTATTTTCCAGATTGAAGTCAGGCTATTTATAATTGATGATCTTATTTTTTCCAGATGCCTTTTGTTGGTGTTTTTTTATGACAAAGGTGTCCTCTTTGTTTTTTTTTTATTATTATTTATTTTACTTATACAAAAACATTTTTGTAAAACAATTTTAATGAAAGTTTTGACCAAAATATGCTATTGTCTATTACATAAATTAATCAAGTGTTCTTTTTCCAGGCAGCACAAATTGTGCTGATCTCTCTGTTTGAATTGAACACTCCTGAATTCACCATGTTACTTGGTGCCTTGCCAAAAACATTCCAGGATGGTGCCACCAAACTCCTGCATAACCACCTCAAGAATGCCAGTAACACCAGTGTGGTGAGTGCTTGGTCACAATTGATACCTCTGTAGCGATCATGACCTCTGTGAATCCCTGGGCTAGACGTGCTCTAATAAAATGGCCAGCTTTCTTGTTCTCTTTTAGTAGATTGTGGGCATCTGGAGGGTGGGGGCTGTGTCTGAACCTGCCATATTCCCAATGAATGAGTGAACTTGGTATTTAAATATGGCCTTTTTTGGGCGCCCTGGCTCAGTTGGTTAAGCGACTGCCTTCGGCTCAGGTCATGATTCTGGAGTCCTGGGATCGAGTCCCACCTCGGGCTCCCTGCTCAGCAGGGAGTCTGCTTCTCCCTCTGACCCTCTTCCCTCTCGTGCTCTCTCATTCTCAAATAAATAAATAAAATCTTTAAAAATAAATAAATAAATATGGCCTTTTCTTACATGAGATTGTTCAATCAGTTAAATTTTTAGTTGGTCATTTAGTCATTCATTGAGTTACTTTCTTCATATGTAAAGATGGAAGTGCTCAATTTGTGTCTGTTAATCTAGCACAGCTGACATCAGTCATTCAGCTTCAGGAATCCCTACGTGACAGTTACCCATTTTAGGTGTATGTGCACTTAAAGTTGGCCTTAATGATTCTTTAAAAAAAAAAAAAAAAGTCATCCCAATTAGGCAGATTTTGCCCTTCTATTTACATGTGGATTAAAAAGCTAAGTGGGGGGGGCACCTGGGTGGCACAGTCAATTGAGCATGTGACTGGGTTTCAGCTTAGGTCGTGATCTCATGGTCATGAGATTGAGCCCCACGTCAGGCTCTGCGCTCAGCGTGGAGTCTGCTTGGGATTCTCTTCCCTCTCCCTCTTCCCCCTCCCTCCTGCTTGTGCTCTTGCTCTCTCACTCTAAAGTCAATCAATCAATCTTAAAAAAAAAAAAAAGAAAAGAAAACCTAGGGGAAAGGGGCGCTATAATCTATGTTTAGCCCTTGAATAATGATGCTTATTCTGTTTTCACACCAGGGCTCTCCGAGCAATACAATTGGCCGGACTCCCTCCCGACACACCAGCAGCAGGACCAGCCCCCTGACCTCCCCCACCAACTGTTCCCATGGGGGCCTATCTCCCAGGTAATGCCATTTCAACAAAAGTGAAGAAACTGAAGCACCCCAGTGTCTGTCCAACCTATTTCTAGGTTTTTAGACCAAGCTTAATAGCAAAAAATGAATGGGTATCATGAGACCATGGGGTTCTAGTCCTCACCCAAATCTTAACTATATAATCTTGGGCAAAGCAGTTGACTTCCATGGCGAAATGGGCAATTTGTGCTGAATGTTCTCGGAGATTCTTCCAGCTCTGAGCATTCCCTAGTAACTTAAAATTTTAAAGCTAAATTTACATTTAGTACTGTTTCACATAGAAACCATTTAGAAATTCATCACCTATTCTCCAAGTGCTAGGAGCACCTGAAGGTATTTGTCATCTAAATAAATCCCCTATAGTCAGTCCACACATAGCCTGGGGTAGTTTTCCCACCAAGCAGCTGTTCCAAGCATAGTTGCTGTCATCACAGGCTCACGTTTGAAGCAGACTGCTGCTCTGGAGAGGTATTAAGAACCTGAGAACTAAAATTGGATCAGCATTTTCAGATTTTTGTTGGGACCATGCAAACGTTGGTCTTAGAGAGTCTGAGACGGTGACTTAAAATCAGAAAAATGCTTTGTCTTGGGATCTTTAGACTTCTCCGTCTGCCCAGAGCCTTTGGAAGTCTTTGCAGGTGACCCCCTGGCATGTGTTGGAGTCTCTCATGGCCTCACATAGAGTAGTGGCCCTAGAGGCCAGACTTCATAGTGCTTGGACCTGTGAGGGTCATACATGCTGTGTTTGTCTACCAGACGTCCAGATCTTTGCAATCCCTGGCCACAAGGATCAGGGGGCTGTGTCTTAAGGGATGTTGACACCAAGATAGTAAGAACATACCACAAGTACTACCATCTTCCCTTTAAAGGTTACCTCTTTAGTAGGAAAATATAAAAAATATAAGTGCCTTTAAATTTATTTTAGATTTTTAAATTCCCCAAATCTTCCATCCTTACCAGTAGAGTTCTCTTTAGTTCTTCAAGTGGTCATATAAATATTGAAACATATGAAATTTGTATTTTTCTCTTGGGATATAAAGCAAAATATTTTATATACTGTTTATATTGCCTTATTTCTAATCCCCCTAAATCTCCCTGGTACTATATTTAGGTAGAATGAAGAATGATGTCACGTCTCCAAGTTTGGTCTGTGTTGTCCTGATTTTAGCAGGCTGTTATAATTAGATAGTTGACATCAGAAGTGAATGAAAATATGTCTGAATTTCCCCAGGTGTGACTGAGGCTCAACCAACTATTTTTTTTTTCATGTTAATATCTGTATCTAAAGTATATGACTTAACAGGGTCCAGTGTTAACAGTAAAATCAGAGTTCTCTTTCTCGGGGTGGAGGGCAGGGGCAGGATTTTGTGGAAAGCTTGAATTCTCTGTAAGTGGTTGCTTTTGTCTAGAAGTAATACTTCTGCACCATTAATTAGGAAATCTCTTCCATAATACACAGTTCATACTTTTTATCTTTTAGTTCTTTCATTATTAGGGTGGCACATTCCTTAGGTAATAAGCAAAAGGTAAAACTCAAGTATTTTTATTCTATGTACTGCTAGTCTTAAGTAAAAGACTGGTGGAGGCCACTGGTGTAATCCATCAGAGCTAAGAATTGGCACGGTATTAATCTTCACGGATCCCCACATTATTAAAAATTTTACTTTTCCAAGTCACCATTCATTTTTAGTTGGCCTGGTCTTAATTTTTACTGTCAGGTTTGCCGGTTGGTGGAAGAAATGAAGAGGTTTATTTTCAATATTAATATCATTTTCAAGATTAAAGCCAAGTGTGACCTAAATGTTTTCTTGCCAACAAATTCCGCTTTAGGGAATTATTTAATTGTGTGGCCTCTTTATTTTTTAAACGAATGTGCCCTCAGGTCAGGGCATACCTAGCCAGATGGCCTTAGTCAACAACTTAAACTCAGTAGAAGTGATTTTTCTCATAACTAAAACTGTCCAGAAGTAGGAAAAATGGCCTCCTGTCATTATATCACTGGGAATATTAAAGTAGGCCACATACTTTCACTAGGAAGATTATAAAAACTATGAACACTTGCATTAAATAGGAGAATGGACTAGGTTACCCCATTCCTGAGGAGACGATAGACAAGTTCTACCACATATAATCTCAAGGGTTTTTTGAGCAGTGCTCTTGAAGCATTTACTTTCTGTGAGCTGCCATTCTTTTGAATCATCTTAAACATATGATGTTAATTTTTTATTCTTAAGAGGAAAAGTTACCAGTTGTTTGTTTTCAATCAAATTTTTTTGTATCAAAACGAACTAGTATTTTTTTAGTCCAAAAATTCTACACTAAGATCATGGTGTGTTAATAAGGAAATATTCTAAAATGATGAGCAAATCTAATTTGATAGTTAAACAAAAAAAAAACCCCTACAAACAATGAATCATGGAACACTACATCAAAAACTAATGATGTATGGTGATTAACATAACATAATAAAAAAAAAGCAAAACAAACAAACAAAAAACAAAAAAACCCTAGTGAGGAAGTTGTTTTTATCAACCCAGTAGTCTTAGAGAAAATCATAGCTGGCATGTTAAACCTTTGTGAAACATTCCATTAAATTGCTTTTTGTGTGTGTGTGAGGGAAGAATTACTCCTTATTCCCAGCAGTAAACAAATACTACTGGGTATTTAGAGAGGAGATTTGTAACCTGGAGTTTTTCATCATTGAACGCATATATATTTTTTAGCTTATTTTACCCAGTGTGATTTGTGTTAAATGAAAAACAAGAGTTGCAGGGGGCTTCAGAAATCCCATGATGTCCATTCCCTTTGAGATCAGAAAGTAGATGGCAGTCCTTGCCCCTATCTTGCTGTACATTGTTGGCAAACGTGTTGTAGAGTAGAATGACACAAAACAGCTCATCTGTTACCCCTAGCAGTAAAGGGTAACTTTAGGTGGATTTCACAGTCCATTGCATCAGAGGATCAAGATTTTCCATAGAAGCAAAGTGGGGATTAACTGGGAGACCCAGCCTCCCATAAGCGGTGGAGGGGGTGGTGCATCTACTTTATGCTCTACCTGTTAGCAGAGCTCCAGCCAAGATGGTCACCCGAGTTCCTCTGGTTACCTCCACCCCTACTCGGTGTGGGACTCAGAGAAGGTCTGTGGGCCCTCGTGTGCCGTGGTGACCTCTCCTCTCCACACTTACCTTACAAAATGAGACCACAGCTGTCTTTGGCAGAGACTAGCTCTTAGGGCCCTGATGATTGCCAGCCTCAGGCAGTGCTGCTCCCTGGGGACCACCCTGGGCCTGGGGTCACATTTCCTGCCAGGTCGGCTCACGCCTCTCACAGTGGCTGTGGCTCTCCTGAATCGCAGCAGCTATTAGAATGTCTGCTGGGGCCTCTGCGGGCCCCGGCCACTGAGCGACATTTACAGAGTGAGGAGGGATGCCTATGTTCTCCGATGAGTTATTTCTCAAATCAGGTGATATGAGCAGGGAATTGGGTTGTTTTGAGACCTGGCGCTCTGGCCCTCTAGTGGTGCTCTTACTTTTTCAGAAGGAAATTGCCTGTGGGAGTCCCTGAACTCCATCCGATGGGGTCCCGGGCTCAGGGAGCACATCGTCCCCGGCTTGAGTTCTGTGGTCAGAAAGGCATGTTCTCTGAGTCTTCCTGCTGTAGTCCCTCGGGTCCCATTTGACTTAAGGCCCGAAATTCCTCCTTTGGCTCCTTGTAAAACAATTGATGGCATTATCTGAAACTGAACATCCATGCATATTTGTATGGAAGTACTGGTAATGTCCTTCCCAGTGCAGACACACACACATACTCACACTCACACACTCTTACACTTGGAACCTCATGATTTAAAAATGTAACACGTGATCAAGAGGGGAAGGAATAAAGTGGCCTTATTGAGGGCCAAACTGTAAAACCAGCCTTGTTCATTTTCTCTGTATGGTGAAGTGTAAATTTTGCTCCAGTTAACTTTGACAGAGCTTGGTCAAGGAAAGAGGAGACTGGAAGACACTTAAGATATAGTGTCTCTCAGTCCCCTCCTGTTTCCCCCCCCCCCCCCCGCGTTGCCTTGTTTTGTCTCTCTCTGACTCTCCTCTTCTGATCACTGCAGTCGCTTGTGGGGTTGGAGTGCCGATGGCCTATCGAAGCACCCACCTCCCTTTTCTCAGCCCAACTCCATTCCCACCGCTCCCTCCCACAAGACTCTCAGGCGTTCTTACTCTCCCAGGTAACAAGCTACCTGTTAACCTTGTCTGAGGTGTCACAATATTATTGCATTTCCAGGGTCGTCTCAGGGCTTTCGGAAAGCCTCTGGCTTAGACGAGCAGGAGTAGAGCCTTGGTGAGAAGTGTGAGCAGGTGCATGATCTCTGTTGACCTGCATGAGTATGACTCCTGCTGTGTCACAGGGACAGATGACCAGTTCATCAACTGACCAAATCCAGCAGCACCTACTGGAGCAAGCCTTTTGGCCCCGGCAGAGCTGAGCTCCGCCAGAGGTGCTGGGGCAATGCCCTGAAGTCAAGGCAGGCCACAGGGGCACGGTTTCCTTCGTATTCTTCTCAGGAGGACAAGGCGTGCCCGCTCAGAAGCAAATGAGACCTGCTCTTTCCCAAACCATACCTGTAGCATCCAGTCCCGCTGTTGGCGATACGGACTGATGTCTTGCATAATGTACTGCCATGTGGTGAGAGTCAGAGGACACAGATCCTGAAGGGAAGGCCCGAGAAGTACATCTCCTTGGTGTGCCCTGCCCCCAGGAAGGAGCGTAGTCGGTATTCTCACAAGCCCCTGGTTGAAGGTGACGAGGTTAATGAGTCTAGAAGAAGGGTGGGGCTTCCTTCAGATCTAAAATAGATGGTAAATCGGTGGGACAAAGTAGGGGCCACGGATTTCTACAGATACCTGTTTGAGGGTCTCTTAGGTGGTTATTATAAAGGTCCAAAGATCCGAGGACCCCTTCCCTAGAAGCCTGTAATTGCACGAGCCTGGGGCAGCCCAGCTGTCTTTGTGCTGTGTAAGATGAGTTTGTACCCGCTGATAGGATCGGGTGAAAACAACCGAAAAAGGTCTGTTATTTCTGAATGCCTCGTAGGTGGCTTTTGCACAGATTTACATTCCTACTTTGTATCCTCAACTCAGTGAAGCTGTACATTTTTAATAAAGTCAGCTAAAGGTTTTAACAACATCTTCCCTTTGAATCTCTCAGAGTTTTAAGGGTAACTTCTCAAGTACAGAGAACCCTGTAATGACTTTCTAGATACACAAGGTTAGGGCAAGGACACAGCAACAATGTGACAGCTGCTGTCGTCAGTGTTAATAAAGCATGTCAGTGTACTTAAACTGTTTTTTTTTTTTTTTAAAGGTTAGCCATGCCTCAAAGTAGAAGTCCACTTATTGACTGTGTTCCCGTACACTGACTTGTGTGCCCTAATGGGCACTGAGCTTCCCCACCCCCAGCCACTTTCCCATCCAGCCATCAAGACCCCCTTCCATTGGGCACCTCGTTTCCAGAATCATCTTTCATGTGTGCACAATAGCACAGCTAATTTTAATAAGTACCCATAACTTCTATTGACCATCGGAGGGAGAGAGCGTTGACAAGAGACTTCTATGTTTAGAAAAACACATCAGTTACCGACAAATAAGAGGAAATCTTTGTCTCTTTGCTTTCGGCCAAAACCGTATTGATTGCATAACAAGGAATGATTATATCCTAATTCCATTCCTGGTATCTTTTCCCTGCAAAATGACAAAGAGGAAAATCTCAGAAAGCAAACTTCCTGTCTCTAGTGTCCCCATTCTTGGAGACCTGACCTCATGCACCTCCCCATCCACGATATGGATCCTTTACAACAGGGTGAGTCCAGAGCTCTATTCTGCCTCCGTATTGGATGACGTGGCCTGACCTTGGGTCGGTGACTATTGACCGATTGAGCAACTGTTTGTAATCTAAAGAATTCTAAGGAAACCTTTCTGGGGTCTAAACAGTGTTTACAGAAGACCAGGAGCTGTCCTTTAACCTCAAGGATTATGTCCCTGAGCTAAAACAAGACAGAGTATGGGGGCAAGTGACAGACTTGGGTGTCCCTAAGCAAGTCTCTTCTGATAGGAAAAGCCGTCCCTCTTGCTGTGCTCCCTTATGGTCTGCTGGCTGGGACCACGGTATCTGTGATTCACCAGGGACTGCTTTGGGGATTTCCTTTTTTCCCCCTACAAACTGAGGGCTCATAGGCATTGATTTGGAAAAAAACAGATGCCAAAACATGAACTAGCAAAGAACGTAGCGTTCATTACCTGTTTCCTGTTAGAAAAAAACGATACTCTCACCTGGAGCTCACAGTTTTAGCTTCGTACCAAGGAGATACTTCAGACCTCAAGCTAGTGAGTCCAAAAAAAAGTGTCACCACAGATTGTACTTGGTCGTGCATGTGTACTCCTAATTATTAATTGAAAGTAAGAAGGAGGAACATTAACCGGCAGGATCCTTTTATTATTTTGAAAAGAGGCTACTGTAATGCTAAAGTTCTGTGAACTGAAGTGAAGTATTTTAAGACCACTCAGGGTACGCATAGTGAGATGAAATTATGTGAAAGCTAACATTATCTGAAGCGACATATGGAAAATAATATTGTGACATCCCTTAAAAAGCTGAACGTTCCGCCAGACTTCCTCTTGTCCATCTGTCATTCTTTCCATTGTTGTTTTTTTTCCTTTTGCATGGGCTATGCTATTATTTTTGGTTGTCGTGATTGAAAGTATTTTAAGGCATCTTTTTTACATCTCGTATGCGTATTTTTTTGTTTGAGTCATACTCAGCTTTTATATATAAAAAATAGTGTACTGGCCAGATGTATAAATGCCTTTGTTCCCACGTAAGCTGGTATTGTGGTGTTCTAGAAAGGAGGGGCCGGGAGCCCCTGTGCTCCTCAGTCATGCTTTCTTCACATTAAAGGGATATTGCCTCATGGACAGATAACCTTATGAACTTAGCAGGGGTTGAAATCTTGAATTTTGTTCAAGTGTTTTAGTCCACCTCCTGTCAGTATATACTTTGGAATTTTAGCTGTAAACGTGTTCGTTCACATTTCTTTTGTGTTTGATGCCAGAGCTAGTCTTTGAGTTGGCGTGTAGTTTTGTGAGCTCTCCAAGTACAGTTAGAGCATGGATTTTCTTTCATTCATCAGAAAAGAAGAATGGGTTCTCTCTGGGCGAGTGTTGCAGTTTTAGGTAAATAGCTCCTATCTCTGAAGGTTGAGTTCAGCTGCTGTGCCCCAGCAGAACCTGTCCAGCCTTGGAAAGCACTTGGATCATTACAGCCTCGAGCCAGCAGAGGTCTGGCTACTCCCAAGTGAGAACTGTGCAGATCTTGTCTTGCTCATCCGCCCATTTTCTTTAAAAAAAAGAGAAGAAAAGGTGGGGAGCGGGCTTAGTAAATATTACTTGTTTTTAAATTACAGGAAACTTAACCTCATTGTGAGAACGTACAGGATTGGTTGTGTTGCCCGTAGGAAAGGTACCTGCCCGCAAGTGTCTAGGTTCAGTTCCTTCTCTTGAAGATGGAAAGAGTGCTTTTCTTTTGTCTTTAATAGTGTTGTCAAATGCTTACTTGTATACAGCCAAGGACTCTTTGAGTGTCCCCTAGCCATCCTCAGGATAGCTCAAGACTTCCTATAAGTTCAATTAGACTGACTCATCTGATCTTCTCTTGACATTTTCTTGAAACAGGTGACACTTAAACACGGGTTTTTTCTTTTTTTTTTTACTTGTCCTTGGTCGACTGTCGCTTCTTGTCTTGAGCTTTCTTTATGCTGTGCTTTATCCTGTGCTTGTCTGTGATATTCTTAGTGAGGGACCGTGGTGGGTGTTGTTCTTAGGACCACGTTTCGGTGCACTTTTCAGACCTCTAAAGGCTGCTTGTTGACACACTGCATTATACCCGAAGGCTCTGTGGGACTTTTGCTCTGTTTCATGTTTTGCTCTGCACAGCCAACTAAAGGAACAATAGTTGACATTACTGTTCTGTAAGGGACAAATATTTCTTGCTTTTTGAAATACTTTTAGACCTCCATCTAGGAATGTGACTTCTCTGTAGAAGATCTGTTTTTATTATAAAACACATAAACATAAGCATCTTGGAAGAGTTGGTATTCACAGCAAGTGCCTGGGTTAGATGGCATGAGAGATAGTCCGGAGCCTTTCGGTAGGGTGGATCTGACTTGGAATCATTTTTGAATGTAGGGTTTTATTTCACAAGTTTCTAATACTGGTAAGCATAACCCCGTCTTGTGAGGTCATTTGCTTTGCTCCTCTGAAACTTGCTTGTAATACTAGCTTTAATTTGAAACGCCCGTCCCTCTTAATCTGTTTGTACATTTGAGACCAGTAACAACCAGACTCCTCGTTTCCATCTTCAAGATATGAAAGTTATTTTTCCACTTTCATTACCTCGTGCATTGTCACCAGTTGTCACCCTTTGAGTTCTTGCATTCTCGTGGTTATTGCTGTTCCCCACTGGTTCTTACCGAGTGCCGGTGTAGTGTGTTTGGGGCCTGGTTTGACAACACGGATAATTGTCCAGTGGTAGTGCTCTAACAGAAGGTGTCTCCTTTTCATCCCAAGTCACCTAAAGATATAAAACTATAATCACACCTTACTCCATAAACCATTGGAAGTAATTTATGCCCATAGCTCAAATACAGTCATATGCTTCGATTTAAGAAACATACTATTTTTGATCTTTAGCATGCTGGAGTATGATACAGAGAACCTGAACTCGGAAGAAATTTATAGTTCTCTGCGTGGAGTTACGGAAGCCATTGAAAAGTTTAGTTTTCGAAGCCAAGAGGATCTGAATGAGCCAATTAAACGAGATGGCAAGAAGGACTGTGATATTGTAAGTATCCCCAGGCTAGCAGAGAATGATATTTCAGTTAAGTGATAATTCTGAAGATTGACCACCGTGAATAGTGAACTTCATCATTATTTTTATCTTGCAGTTAGAATAATATTATTTTAAGAGGCCCAAGGTAACTTTATAAAATTTTGAGTAACTCTCAGCTGTCTGTGAAAAATGTAAACTACCTTTTTCTCCCCTGTTTGCTTTTGTTTATCCCGGACATATTTTTGTTCCTGTGACGTGATAAAAATAGTAGGCCTGAATCAGACACCAACGTGGCTTTCTGGAAGCTCTAGTCTCATGCAGAGGGAGGCAGATCCGTGGGAAATCAGTGGTGTGGTGGGGAGTGGTCAGGGCTCAGTACTGAAGAGACATGCTGGACCAGTCTTGGTGCTCAGGAAGGGTCAGCTTGGAGATGCATGAAGCAAAGGGTCAAAGGGAGTTTGGACAAATAGGAGGGAGACCCTGTGAGAAAGCAGGGAGATGGCAGTGGGCATGGCATGATTTCCCTTTGCGGGTGGCTGATGTGGAGACAGGGGTCATATCATGTTGGTGGCGAGGTTTGGGGAAGAGGCTGCAGAGGTTGGCTCAGGAAGGGCATTCACACCCAGGGGACTTTTCCGCCAGTGTCTTAACTTTACTCTGGGGTCAATGGAGAGTCTTTGAAGGATTTTTTAACCAGGGAAGCGGCATGGTCACACTTATATTTTAGAAAGATTACTGCCTCTGGAGGAAGTAGGGTTGGGAGGGCATGAGCTGAAATACTAGAGTCAGAAGTCTCTGCCTAGGACTCTTAAGTGCTGGGGCAGTTTAGTGAGATAATATCCTAGAAGGAGAGAAAAAATGTATGTCATCCCCTTTGGAACACAGTGAATTCGGTTTTGAATGTATGTGACTTGAGGGACCTGTGGAGTATCTGAGTATATGTATCCCGTAGGCCTTTGCAGGTACCAGTCTGGAGTTTAGGCTGGCCGTTGAGGCTGGGGATAGAGATTTGAGAGGCATTGACTAGTTGGCTTGATGATAACTAAAAGGTGAGTGAAATCAGCCAAGTAAAGGGTAAGGACAAAATCCAAAGGATCATCAACACTAATGGAAAGACGGAAGAAAAGGAGTTGAAAGAAAAGCTACAGGTTATTGTGTGGGAGACCAGGATAGTGTGGTGTCAGAGAACTTAAGGAAAACTTTTGGGAAGGACCTTCTAGCCAAGGAGAGGGATCAGTCAGATGTGGAGTGAAAGGGCTCCATTGGATTTTTTTTTTCCTAGCTGCATTAAATATGACCAAGTGGAAATTGAATTATTGAGGAGGCTCAAAATTCAACATCTTAGCTGCTTGATGATCAGAGCGTTAGCAAAGACCACAGTGGATATAAAAATGCATTAAGTGTGAAAGATTTGGGAACTGGTATGTCTCTTTGGCTTGATAAGTGACTCAGTCTAATAAGACAGACATCCGTAAGGATGAATGTCAGATCCACTGGGAAGATGGTTCCCAAAAGCAGCAATGAAAACGTTCAACATGTGGGAAAAAGTCCATCTTTATGAGTGATTACAGAAATACGGTAAGCATACCTTTGAGGTTCAACTTTACTTCTAAATTGTTCCACTTTGTTTCGAGTAGAAATTAAAATATTTAATGCTAAAAAGGATATAAAGAACTAGTAGAATAGGGCGCCTGGGTGGCTCAGTTGGTTAAGCGACTGCCTTCAGCTCAGGTCACGATCCTGGAGTCCCAGGATCGAGTCCCGCATCGGGCTCCCTGCTCAGCAGGGAGTCTGCTTCTCCCTCTGACCCTCTTCCCTCTCGTGCTCTCTATCTCTCACTCTCTCTCTCTCAAATAAATAAATAAAATCTTAAAAAAAAAAAAAAGAACTAGTAGAATATTGGTGGCATGGGAACTTGATACAGTTGCTTTGGAGCTTAGTAAATTTAGCATAGGGTTTTTTTTTGTTTTGTTTTTGTTTTTTTTTTTTTTAAGAGAGATAGAGTGAGTGATGGGGGTGGGTGGGTAGGGGGTGAAGGGGCAGAAGAAGAGAGAGAATCCTAAGCATGCTCCATGATCAGCTCAGAGCCCAACATGGGGCTTGATCTCATGACCCTGAGATCATGACCTGAGCCAAAACCAAGAGTCAGACACTTAACTGATGGACCCACCCAGGTGACCCTCAGCCTAAGTGATTTTAAGTTTCATATCTTTTATCCGTAATATAACTTTTGACAATCTACGTTAAATAACAAACTCAGCAAAAGGAAAGAAAGTTATTATTTACAGTGTAGTTTATCTCAGCATTATCTATAACAAAACCCAGAAACATTAAAAAAGAAAAAGTAGAAGGGGAGTAGTTGAGTAAATCTTATTAGAACACAAATGGAAATAGTGGTGTGAGTAAACATTGTGGTTACAAACAGTGTTTGCATGGGACATGCTTACACTGCGAGGAAAGCAAAATATGTGGGCGTGTATACTCTGATTCCCACTCCACGCAATCTGCGGGAAGGGAAGGATGGGGATAATACACAACTTTAAAAAGGAAGATCTTTTCTTTTGGTTTTTGTTAAAAGTGATTAGAATTAGGATGGGGGTTAGCTTTATTTTTAAAATGTCTGAAGTTTTTTTAAACCCTTTTTCTCCTAAGTTTTTTCATTATAATAGTATGTGTTTTACTTTGAGAAGAGAGTTACAAGGAGAAAAAAATTAAATTGTCCATGAATCATCTTCCTACTGCAGGAAAAGCCCAAAGTCTTATTTTGTTCAGGTCTACCCATGGATTATATATCCTTTTGACATCTTAACAGTTAGCAGAAAATATTTTTTGGTGGTGTTAAAAACCAGATGCATCCCAGCAGTTCCACTAGGTGTGTGTCCAAAAGCATTAGAAGAAGGGACTGGGACAGATACTTGTACCCCAGTGTCCGTGATAGCATCCTTCACGGTAACCAAACTGTAGAGAAGCAGTCAAGTGTCCAGCAGATAAATGGATAAACAGAATGTGATATATGCATCCAGTGGAGGAGTATTCAGCCATAAAAAGGAACGCAATATTGACGCATGTTACAACATGAATGGACCTTGCTTAGACCAAGTGAAATAATTCAGAGACAGAAAGTAGAATAGGGGTGACCAGAGCCGGGAGGGGTGGGGAGTTATTATTTACTGGGTACAGAATTTTGGTTGGGGAAGATGAAAAGGTTTGCCCAACATATAATGTAGTGGTCATGGTTATACAGCATCTTGACTGTCTTTAATGTCACTGCATTGTACACCTGTGAATTAAGTCATTACAATGATCTATGTGTATTTTGCCACAATTTTAAACTGGCTTTTTTTTTTTTTGCCACGATTTTAAAAAATGCATAAGCACAAAGTGAAGGAGATGTATCTTGTCAGCAGCACAAGTCAGACACGTGCCACAGCAATCACCCAGTGTGGTCTGGCTGCCTAGAGATGGCTCTACCATGGTTACATAGGCAGATGGTGGGGGTGAGGAAAGTGAGGGTTTTGCTTTGTTCCTGGCAGTTGGCCCACACTAGCTTGGTTATACTGCCGCCCTGCAAAGGGAGCCAGACAGGCCGGTCAGTGCTCTTCAGGAGAAGGGACCCGCTGGGAGTGAGGGGCAAGTCAGACACATGACACAAGGGCCAAAGGACACCAAGGGTTTAATTTGTTAAGGACAAGTCTCAGAATATATTCGGAAGAAAATGTTTCAGGAAATAGCAGCAAAGCCTATTCTTTGACCCAGCATAAAGCCTAGCTGAGAGTCACAGGTGTCCAGGGGGTGATCGGCCTCTTGGATACAGAGTTCTCCGTTGCTAGGGATTAGTAAGCATTGTTTGGCTTTGGGGAAATATATACAAGGATATCCTGGATGGTTGGGCTGCTTTAGATCTTGTGGTGGTCTCCGGGGGAGCATCTCACATTGGTGTTGTGTCAAGGCATCACTGAGAAAATCCTGCTGTTCATGAAGAAATGATGGGCAGCAGTGCCGGCACACGAGATTCCTGGAGAAATGTTTGGTTAAAAGTCATCACCAAGTACAAAGTAAAACAGACTTTACGTGTAAATGAATGAATGAAGGGGTGAAAACATAAGCATATTCGGTTCCCGGTACGGTAATTTATGAATTAGATATTTGCAGATTGAAATCCTAGTCACTATCCTTCTGTCGGTGGCCAGATTTCATGTGCAAAATCTGGCTCTCCTAATACTTGTGAAAAGTTAAAGGAAGAGTTTGTTAAAATTCCTAAGCAGGAACTGACCATGTGCTGTGCTGCAGGTGTCCCGCGATGGTGGAGTTGCCTCGCCTGCCACGGAGGGCCGGGGAGGCAGCGATGTGGTGGAAGGAGGCAGAACAGCTCTGGATAACAAGACGTCCCTCCTCAACACCCAGCCTCCACGCGCCTTCCCAGGGCCGCGGGTGCGAGACTACAATCCATACCCCTACTCCGACACCATCAACACCTATGACAAGACAGCCCTGAAGGAGGCCGTGTTTGATGATGACATGGAGCAGCTTCGAGACGGTTCGTCTTTCTTCACTTGATTCCGCCCCCCCCCCCCCCCCCCCCATCCAAAAGTGCTTCCTGTGGGGCTTTCTCCTCTTGTCAGAGCAGCTCTGGGCCTACAGGGCAAACCTAAATGGATGTACTGGGTCTGTTCTGGTTAGCCGCTCACTCAGCAGCTGCTCACTGAGCTCTCCTACCTTGTGCTTAGGCATGGAAGGCACAACTGTGAGCGAAAGTATGCACAGTGCCTGCCCCCCGAGAGCTTACAGCCTCCTCCGAGAGGCAGTCATGAAATCGGAGTCACACAGCTCACCGGAACTTGGAGCTATGACACTGTGCAGTGAAGGCAGGTCAGCTGTGTCCATGAGGGAGGTCTTCCCCGAGGAGCCGGGGCCTGAGTGGAGGTCAGAAGCACGAGAGGAGTAGCAGTTAGCTACTACTGTTGGGGAGCAGAGGCCCCTGCTACGCACTCTCCCAGCCCTGAGCTGTGGAAGTACGATCCTGTAGCAACCACTGAGAGGCTCCCTTCTTCTGTCACCGGCGTTTTAACCAGGTCTCCCTGGAGCTGCTTTAGGTTGACTTCTGTCCTGTGGTTTGGAGAGAGGGAATCTGGCACATACTGAGCTCCTATGTTACCATGTGCTTGCTGCTGAACTCAGTGTTTTACCTGTATATCTAATGAGATAGAGGGGATTATTCCCATTTCACAGATTAAGAATCTAAGGGTTCGGAGAGATTGAATTACTTGTCCCAAAATATACTTGGCATGGGAACAGAACTAGTCTGTCTTGTTTTGTTTTCTGACACTTGTGTTAAGACCCATTATCCATTATTAACAAGTGAATCAAGTATGCGTTGGTGTGATGGTATTTTCATCAGGAACTTAATTATTTCCTTTTCACCTGATTGTCATGTTCACTTAATAGTCATTTTTTTTTAAAATTATATATATTCTCTTTGTTTCCAAACCTTTTGTGTTTTAATTTTGAATGGAGAATGAAATCAGAACTCTAAATTAGAACTCTAAACAGCATTCACTGTGTGTAATGAAATGTGTAGCTTGCTGGGGAGAAGGAGGCAAATGAGACACAGTCCCTGGCCTCAGAGAACTCAAGGCCTGTCAGGGGAAAGAGACTTATCACAGTGGCCCTAGAAATAGGGGAGTGCCACACTAGAGCAGGTGCTGGTTTCAGTGGGGATACAAAAGAAGGAAGACTGGGGGCCACCTGGCTGGCTCCCTGACTCAGTCGGCAGAGCGTGCAACTCTTAATCTCAGGGTCGTGAGTTCAAGCCCACGTTAGATGTGGAGCCTACTTTTAAAAAAAGAAGAAGAAGAAAGGCAACTGTGCTCTCTCAGTGGCTCAGACAGTGATGGGATCCTAAGACAGCAGTGAAGTCCTTCCGTTGTCTCAAGGCACATCCCCTGGCTCTTACTTGCTGATTGCCAGTGGGTAGCAGCTCCTTAAATTCCCAAGGGGTCCTAGTGTGTGTTTCTGGGGCCCTGGCCTAGGGGTATGATGGTTATTATGAATTGTCCTTTCATGGAATAGGGAGCTGTTTCCTTTCATTGCTCATAGAATTGATAACTCGTTTAAGTTAACCCATTTGTAGCTCTCGTTTAAGATAGAATAGAGATTGGGCTGGGTGTTGGTTGTTACCTGTTCACCATCTGTATACTAAAAGGCTTAAAGGAAAAAAAAAAAGGCTCAAAGAGAAAGGTGGGAATGCAGGGGGGAAAGATCAAGTTCTTTAACATTTCAAACTTCCTGTGTGTGTGTTCCCCTATCTTAGATGCTAAAAAAAAAAAAAAAATATGCAAATACAAATTTAAGTAGTTTCTAATGATTCGTCTTTGCCTTTTCATCCTTTGTATTGAAAGGGAATGTTCAGAGTTGAGGTCTCTTGAAAGAACATGGGAAGAGAAAGGATGGTCTTCCATGGTTGAAGTCCCTGCGAGTAATTTTGCTAAGTGAGCTTGGTTGGCAAGTTTAGTCTGTAAATAGTCCAAGAATAGTCTAAACATCTTGATTAGTATTTGTTTGCTGTGCTGGTTACTAAGCTCTGGATATTGGGGCAGGGAAGGGATGTCAGAGGATCAGATGTGACGGTGAGGAGGGCCCTGAGGAAAATGTGCGTGCTTTGGCGGGTGTAATAGCGGGAGGGGGCTGTCCGGTGGCGGCCTGACGTCGGACTGCTGCACTGGGGTTAGACTTGGGGAAGGAAGACCATAGAGGAGGGACTATTAGATGGTTCCTCCGTTTGTCTGAAATGGGAGGGGGCAAAAGATGGTAAGGAAGGGTTAAAGACGTAGATAATCAGTACTTGACGCCTGTTCTCACATCTCTCTCTTCACAGCTGGGGAGGTGGCCTGCTGAGGGTGTAGAGAGTGAGGTGGTTCAAAGCAGGGTGGAGGGCATGGCAGCAGGGATGGAGGAGAAGCTGCCTCTGGGAGACAGGGAGCCAGTGGAGGGGAGCTTGAGCATCTCTGGGGGCGCGTCCCCAGCCGGGGCTTCCCTTGTGATGTGACTTGTCTCGGTGTCTCCCCAGTACCCATTGACCATTCTGACTTGGTGGCCGACCTTCTGAAGGAGCTGTCCAACCACAACGAGAGGGTGGAGGAACGGAAAGGTGCCCTGCTGGAGCTGCTCAAGATCACCCGGGAAGACAGCCTGGGCGTCTGGGAGGAACACTTCAAGACCATTTTGCTCCTGCTGCTGGAGACGCTTGGGGACAAAGACGTGAGGCTCTTTCCTCGTCCTTATGTGTCCCCCCTTCCCGGGGGACGGGTTATTGAGTCCTGTTCTCCTTGAGTTTGGCTTCAGCTTTACTTTCTGTATTGTGCCTACTGTTTACATCAAAACATTTTTCAGATATTTTCTGAGCAGCAGTTAGTGAGGTCATGTTTTGGTCAGAGACAGGCCCCATTCCTAGCTTATTATATGCAAGTTTTTTCTGTAATCAGGTTTGTAGGACCTGAGGGAAACTTGTTCCTGCTTCAGGTTACCTTGTCTCACACAAAATTTCTTATGACTTTGTTAACATGGAATGTTTTTTTACAATGAGCTCTTCTCTGTGTGAGTTTTATGTTTCATGTGGAATTGAGAAAGAGGCAAGTTCATTTTTTAAAAGACCCTACTAGATGCTGCCTTCCACGAAATTCTGTGTAGGTTCAACCCTGCATATGTGAGCAGTTCCAGTGGTCTTCATTGGTCAAGCAATAAGTTCTAGAAGTATGGATTATTTTCTATTATCTTCTCTATTATTTTTAAAATGAAAAACCCTCTTTGCCCCGTGACATTTAAATGTGGCCCAGAAGGCATTTGTACCATGCCTGGTCTGTAACCCACCCATGGTACCACGTAGATGACTCTCACAGGAGGGAGCAGCCTAGTTAGAGCCCTGCCTTCACCCATCTGTGCGCTGGTCCCTTATGTGGAGACAGCAGTAAATGTTGGGAATTGTCTGAATTACACTCTAGAAGTAAAAGTCTGTCTCTGTACTGGGCTTTGTGTAGGCTGGCAGAAACAACAACGAAGTAGGTGTGGTGAAGAGCTCAAGGGCAGGACCGGGTGGATTTGGAGGAAGCTCAACACAGCCCACGGTATAGGTCACACTCGGTCACATTGATGGGGACTTTGTTGGAAGACGGGTGCGCGTGGGGCTGGCGAGTGTCACGGTGACTGATTTCTTTCATGCTTCGGGTTAATGGTTTGGTGTACAGATAGAAGGACAGTGATGAAAGGGCTGTATTAACTTCCTTACACAGAGTATTGGCTGCTGAAGCCCGTCTGCTTGGTCGGCCTTCGTTGGTAGATAAAGTGATGTCACGTAGAGGGCAGGTGGATGGTGTGTTAGTGTGTGAACTGTACAGGTTGAGCGACGAAGAATCAGGATGTACTTTTTGGCTCTGTTTGGTGTAAACCCCATTTTCTTTTATTGAGATTAGGAGTCTGTTTGAAATGGCTTTCCTCCAAGTGGTGAGACTCGGGCCTCAGACAGCTCGAGGCGTGTACCCATCCCCTTCGCCTGTGATCTCATCACACAGAAGGTCGGGAGTAACGACAGGTCTGCGGCTTAGTCCACGGTCTTACAGGTCGTGTTGATGAAATGGTTACATGCTTTTTACCTGTTCTTTTGTACATTTTACAAAAGGGTAATTTGCATTATCTAAGCCTCAAGAAATCTGGAAATCCCCCAGGAGATGGATAATGAACTTAGATGTATCGTCCTCGTTCAGTCTCATTTGGTCCTCATTTGGCTCATTCCAGAAACCTTCATCAGGTCCCTCTTAGGTGCTAAGCCCTGGGAATGTCAGCATTAGGCACAGCGCCTGCCTCCTGGAGCTGGCCCCTCAGCCTGGGCCACGTAAGCAGTGGGACCTGTGTTGGGGTTCCAGCGAGGTGCTGGGGGAGCCCAGGGCTGGGCACTTGGCCCCGTTGGACGCTGCCGGCTGGTGTGTTCGCTGAAGCTCTGGGTAGCGTTTGCTAACGTCTTTCTTTCCTCTTGTACTCCAGCATTCCATCCGAGCACTAGCATTGAGAGTTTTACGGGAAATTCTGAGAAACCAGCCAGCAAGATTTAAAAACTATGCCGAGCTGACCATTATGAAGACTCTGGAAGCCCATAAAGATTCCCATAAGGAGGTGAGCCAGGCCTCTGGCCTAGGAGTGCTGAGCAGACGGGTCTGGGGTGCATTGAGGATGTGGGAAGAGAGGAGGAGCGTGGATCACTGTATGGCCCAAGACAGGGAGTCGCTCCCTTTGAGCTGGGCCCCGGGCCGTGATACAGGGCAAAGATCCCACTGCTGGTGTGATGGCTAAGCCCAGGTGCAGTTGGAGGCCTGGTGCCACTTGGTAGGTTCCTGATTCCCTTTCCACCTGTACAGAAACTGCCCTGTTCTGCTGACCTGTCCCTGAGAGATTTCTCAAGTCAGTGGTTCCCATTGCTGTGGGTCAAAAGAACAGGTGTAGGGGTCTGCCATTTCCTGGTGGCATTCAGCACCCACCAGACTGGTGTTGGGAGATCGAGGTTGGCTTGGGAGACACAGATGTGCGAGTGCTAGACCCAGTTCTTCCTTGTTCCACAACTTCAGACCGGTTCTTTCAGCTTCCAAGCCTCAGTGTCCTTGTGTGTAAGATAGAGGTGTGGATATGGTCACAGTGTCTCGTGAGAATTAAATGAGAAGTCAGTGAGGGTTCCTGGCCCAGTACGTGTTGACAGAGGTGCTACACCACGTCGGTCTTCCTCACTCTGCTGCCCTCTCGTGCCCCTCTGTGCAAGATCTGGACGAACGGACGCAGTCATGTCATCTGCCTCTCCTACTAGCTCCCGAACACACAAGATGCTAGGAAACTGTCCTGGCACCTCAGAGGCCTACCAGGGAGCCGGAAGGACATGTTTCTGTGCCCCGCACACTTACAACCGGCCTTGACTGGACACTCAGTAAATCCTCGTCCACTTGCTTCCTGAAGTGTCCAGCCCCCATGGCTCACCAGTCCTTTGAGTGTCTAGAGACCAACAGGGAAGATGGATGCAGCTTTCTAAGTACAAGTGATCTCAGCAGCCGATAAAAGGCACTATGGAAAATAGGGCTATGTACTTAGAACTCTAGAAAACTTGAGTGGGTTTGACCCCAGCGACACGTAACCACTTGTTCAGGTCATTCTCTCAGCTCCCACGTGACTCTCACGAGCACCCTCGTGGATTAAGGGAATTGCAGTGAGAGCAGTTCTTACATGTCTACAAAAAGAATCTAGACCCTAAATCATGGTTTTTCTCTGTTTAGCAGTTATGTGGCTGTCAAACAGTGACAGGTCTGACCTCCTGAAATCCACCCCACGATAGCAGACTCATCAAAGATCTGGGTCTCATGCTCTGTATAGGCATCTCCACCTGATAGCCCTAGACAAAACAGGTTCATAAGTGATAGACGTGTTTCAGACGGGATACCGTATGCTTCCGAAATCTGGCTTGGTTGTGCGATAGGGAAAATCACTCATGTTTGAACAAAACACTTTCCATTTACAGTAACTCATTTAAAAAATGTGAGGACCAGGTGAGCTAATACAGTCAACACCAGTAATGACTCCTGAGTAAGGAAAGAGGGTCCAAAAAATGCTGTAATTTGTCAGGTAATATGTGGCAGTTATTGGCAGAACCAAGATGTGAAGCAGGTCGTGTGTCTCTTTTAAGGGGCAACTGGCCTGGCCTATGCTGGCTTTTTTTTTTTTTTTTTTTTTTAACCATAATAGCTTCTCCTTAATGAGAATACATGATCACAAAATGATGTCAGGGGTGGCTGGGTGTCACAATCGGTTAAAGCGTCTGACTCTCAGTTTCGGCTCAGGTCATGATCTGAACCCCGCATTGGGCTCCACACTCAGCAGGGAGTTGGCTTGAGATTCTCTCCCCATCTCCCTCTGCCCCTCCCACTGGTGCTGTCTCTCAAAAATATAAATAAATTTTAAGTAAAAGTATTTTTTTTTTTTTTTTTTGCAAATATCTGAAATCAGTTGTTTCCTCAGGAGAGGACATACTTAGAATGTGGCATCAAGGTGAAACTAAGCCATCCAGAGTATGTGGCACTTACTAACTGTCCCCTTGGAAGATGTCTGTGTTTAAAGTCGGCATCCTGATCTTAAACTTTGAAACTTTGACAGTAGACCCTAGGACGTACAAGTGAGCAGAATTAAATAGTCTGTTTATTATTAGCTGTTTTCTTGAGGGATCGTGCTTTGGTTTTTTTTTTTTCTCCTGCAAAATGAGAAATTGAGGAGAGAAAAGTTCTTAGGTGTAATGGCCTTTCAATTGCCTAAGGGACAGAAGCAGAAAATATCTGTTGCTTAAAGTAAACTTACCAGCGTTCAGTTGACATGGAATTCGAGTAACCCAGGGTCTGCACGCTGCTGTCACTGATTGCCTGATAAAGCAGGTGGGGAAAACACTGTGTTCCAAATAAAGGAGTGCCTGTATTGGCAGGTCTCCCCTGCTTTGCATACTTTCGTACTCACCTTGACTTGGTGCCCTTGTAGTTTTCCTTATGAAACTTCACTCTGTCACTTTGCCAGAAGCTCCTCACTTGGGCACCTGTGTGTGTAGGTTTTAGGTATGGTTTTTTTTCTTTTTCTTTCCCTTTGAAATTTTTCTAGTCTTTCTCGTATTTTAACTGATCTGTCTCCATTCCCCGTTCTTGTGTTTTCAGGCAGAATACTTAGGTGCACATCAAGTTTGTGTGTAGCCATCTTGTTGGCAGAGAACATCGCACACGGTATTTCTCTAGTTACGTTTTCTCGTCACTACGTTCGGGCGTTATTCAGACATTGATTGGGAAGGATCCAAAATGTTTCTAGACCCAGTGACTAATATTGGTCCTTCAGAGGCAGAGTCTGCTCTCCTAGCTGGTCAGTACTTCCCAAGTGTGGTCGTTCCTTTGAGCGCCCCGGAACTTCCATCCCGTAGGAAGCTAGTTGGTTTTGTATTCACAGACAGAGTCCAGGCTTTAGCAGGACATGAAGGACGTGAGACCCGGCAGGCTGGCACAAGCTGCCCTGAGACCTTAGCGGCAGATGTCCTCTCGTGCCCTCTGTGGTGGTGGCCACGCCACAAGGCACCTTGTGATGGCACCAGGACAATAGCAGTGAAAGAAGAGGAGTAGGGTAGGGCTAATGATAAGATGGCTTGTTTTCCCATCTTTTAGGCCAGGGTCTGTTTTCTCAGGGTCTTTTAAAAGGAACCGTGCGTGTAAAACATTTTTGCTACACACTGAAAGTGTACCAGGTACTAGATCTCGCTCAGGCATCACCCATCTTCTGCCAACACAGACTTGGTTAAGCACCATGGAGGATTTGGATACCAGTTTAGAGTTTCTATTTGAGACGTTGGTGTGGATCAGCTTAGAGATGTTTTCGTGTTCCTTATTTGAATAAGTACATCTCCTTCATTGTCTAACTCCTTGTTTCTATGTTTTTAGTAAATAAACTTTGCTACAGAGTTTTAATGACTTGTTAATGAAGTCACTGTGGTTTTCAGGAGGGTTAGCTTGTATCGAACATCTCAAAGAGCTCAGCCTTGGTAGTGACCTTCAGAAATCTGAAGCCCATTTTCTGTTTTGAAAGAAAACATCGATTTTACCTTTTCTCCTCTTAGAATTTGCAATCTGTTCAGGCTGGTGCTAATTCTCTCCTTCACTGGTGAAGAGGGGATTTGATAAGAGAATCGATGGTACAAATGAATTCTGGGGTCAGTGTGGTGGGGATGACTCCAGAGGCAGGAAATCTGGTTTTCAGTCCAGCATGTGTCCTGTCCAGCTGTGTTATTGGGTCTCATCACCTCTGTGTGACCCTATAAAGCATGAGCATCACGAGACTCAAAGACATGACAGTGTGGACATGTCATATGCTCTGTGAATATTACCACGTGAAACTGGTTTTAGACATCCTTATCTGTTTCAGAAGCACCTCTTTGTAAACAATTGATATGCCGATTATGAATCATTTTAGACACATTTGAGGTAAGAACAGCTGTTGCTCACAGGAATTTTGTCTTACATAAAATCCCCCCAGATGTGGAAATGTTTCGTAAATGTTTAAAGTTGAAAGAAACACCAACTCTGTGTCTTGAAGATGTTCTATAATTGAAACTTTTGGATCGTTTCCTGAAGTTGCCCTTGCCCACGTTAGTGAATATTCAGTTTTATTTGTCTACTAGAGAAGAGAGCGTTAGCATCCTTTTATGTGCTGGACTGGGTCACCAAACATTCTTGCCATGCACAAAAGTCGGGGGCTTCCGGGCATCACCGTCCAGCCTTGGGTGGTTTGGTTTGTTTGGGGAAGTTGGATTCTGAGATAAATATAAAACAGTTTTTTTCCTTTAGGGGTTTTGTTTTTAAAGCATTTCTAGTTAATTTTATATTTTATGATTTCAAGGAATTAAAAGTAAAGCCAGACCAAAATTATTTTAAAAATAAGCATTTCGGGAACTAGCTTCTTGCTTCTGCTTTATCCTGCTGGTGTGGCATGTCTTACGCAGTCCTTTTGACAAATAGGGCCAGAGAAAAGCAGCAGTGTGTCAGAGTGTGTCACGTTTTATTTTAGCAAGCGGATAATTCTCTTTCAAATACCAGTTAAAATCACTATCTGACCACGACTAAACCCAGACCCTCTGCACTCTGGAATGGTCTTTGGAAGCCTCCCGGGGCAGCAGCCGTGTGTCAGTTGGCCCTAGAGAACAATGTGTTGTGTGAACCTGGAGAAATTACTTCACCTCTCTGGACCTTGGTTTTTCTTACCTGTTAGCGCAGGGAGTGGACTAGATGATTATCTGTATCTCATCCAGCCTCAGGGTACTAGAAGTTGCTATTGAGTAACAAACCTAAACCTTTGTAGGTTCTAAATATGTACTTTTTCCTTGATTCAGTCTTGGGATGTGGCTAGAAACCCGATTCCTTTGTACGTTTTTGCTGCTTAACAGAAAGGCAAAAACAGAAATCTATATACTCATTTAAAGGTTAATAGTTGTCAAGCCAAGAGTCTGACACTAATAGCACAAATTCTGGTAAATATTTTATTATTGGAGGCAGGAAGTGGGGGAGCAGGGGGCAGGGCTCCAGTCTTCAAAGAGCCCGTGGTTCAGTTGAGGTCAAAGC